TGGTGATGATGAAGGAGTAGACTGTAGAACCTAGCTATACAGTAATTGCAGTATTTCCCTAACTATTCCTCCGTCGTGGCAAAGTAGAATGCAATGGTGGTAGCGAGAGGTGGGATTAGTTCCGTTATTAGGAAGTAAACGCGCTATATCTTAGCGTATAAATTCTGACAAATATTAAACAATGTTTTTTATAATAAAGCTTTTTCTATTCTATTCTTCCCCCAGTCCGACGCGGCGACGTCCTGTCCGCCTGGTCGGGCATCAGGCCGCTAGTGTCGGACCCCAACAAGCCCGACACGCAGTCGCTAGCCCGCAACCACATCGTGCACGTGTCGCAGTCGGGACTCGTCACCATCGCCGGCGGCAAGTGGACCACCTACCGCTCCATGGCGATGGAAACCATCGACGCTGCTATTGAAAGTGAGTATGGGCAGGCCTGTTCATCTCCGCGAGTTTGCATCGAAAACAAAACACGCGCGACGACCCCTCCTAAGGTACCCGAGGTAATCGACAGGACAATCACGAGCGAGTATTGACGGACGCACGTGTATTCTTCACCCATTTGCATTGTAGAGACAATAAACTATATGTAAAAACGGTGGTGTAATTAATACTGTGCAGTATTTTTTAACTGCCTGAATAATAATATAAACACAAAATATAATTCATGCTTAATAGTACGAGAGCCCACGACCAAAATTTTTGTCTCATAGCAATACGGCCAAAACCGCATCAAATCGATAGATACGATTATCCTGAACTCGAAAATACCAATATCAGACATTTTCCGCGTAGCGTTTGATCTGACCGAATTTTCAAAATTGTCAAAGCATTTTACCGAACTGCATCATAGCAATATGTCTGATTTGCAGACTGTAGTTGNAACATCATCGAATATTATTGAATTTATAAAGGTAAATTTGCTGTATAAAATATCAAAAGACCGACAGTAAAATATTTTAACCCTTAAAAGTTATCGCCATTTTTAACGAAAAAAAACACAAAAACGTGAATATCTCGCAACTTTGGTTTTGTCAGTTATTTAATTCTGCCACGACGGTGACGATATTATTGTAACAATGTAGTAATTGTATGCGATGCGAATTGTGATCACCTGACTTCACGCGAGTAACTGCACTGTATAATTTCCCAAGCTGCGGCTATTTCGGGGCTGGCCACAGCATCGGTGCGTGAAATACACGCGGTACTTAGTGATAACGCTACATATACCTTTCTTAAGAGATGAGAAAGAACACCACAACTAACATTTTTGGTTTTCCGTTATAGCACACGAGCAATTCTTTACTCATGCGGTTAGAGTTCTAGGAAAGATATTTTATCGCCGTAGTCTACTTCGGCGTCTCCCCTGAATTCTGAGCATGCTCATAAAAAAATTACGACTTGTCACGTAATTTTTAACTGGTCATCAACTAACTATAGCCGATGACGATTTTAGAACGCTATGTTAACTTACTGACTACCTCCGATCTTAGAAACCGGGTTATTTATTTCCTTATTTTTTCTGACATTTCTTTAATGAAATGAATTGGTCTCCTAACTAGATCATCAGACAGAGGAATTTATACGTACGAGCGTTAATTTACATTGTCATTAATATATTTTCGTATCGAATCACTTTAAATAAACGCTATTATAGTGAGAGCATACCACGGGAGAAAAACTCGTGGCTTGCCACGAGTCGATGTCTCAACTAAAATTGTAACTCGATCGACAAGAGCGAACCCTTGCCAAAAAACACGACTATCACTGCAACAGAGAGTGACATAACAAGCCGGTCAATAACATTGTATTAGCGTAATACTTGAATCCTCTATCGTCTATGTTCCGTAGTATTCACAAATGGGAAGGCCTTCGAACTCCTATGTTCTTCTGATTAATTTCGTTGCGGTTCCAATGACAGTTTAACTTTCCTCGGGAACAAACTTGACCTTCACTGGTTGGGTTATTGCCGGTCAAGATCCTGGCTACACAGGAGTTGCAACGGTGGGAACGAGAGGTGGAAATAGTCCCGGAAATGGGAATGCCTCCGGTGTTGGTTGGGCTTTTATTGGCGGTCAAGCTGTAGATCCTGGCTACACCGGAGTTGCAGCGGTGGGAACGAGAGATGAGAATAGTCCCGTTTAATTGGAAAAAAGGTACCAGTTATTGTCGGGACAGTGCTAGAGGGGACTACTGTGAATATTCGTATTCACCACATGCGTAAACAAAGCTAAAACAAATGAATATTAACAATAGGTTTCGCTCGAGCAAGATTTGCCTCTGGCAGGCAGCTAATTTCATGCGAAAACTGGTGGAAAATTATTTTGTCAGAGAATAGTTCCTATTATCTATTAGATAGCTTAACACGTGTGTTGAAGGCCACACGCTATTACGAGACGTCTGCAGCGATACAGATATGACTCGGAAGTGATAAGCGCAATCACGTCAGTCAATTAATCAGACGCCAGCTTACACTTAATCAAATTGTGTGTGTTTGTATCCACTTACCTACATATCGTGATCGATTGGTTTATAAACGTTAAATGTGTATTAAAAACGCTGAAGAATTAAATACCCAGACAATTTTCCAACAAAGTTAAAAAATTAATTATGTTTCATAAGGGTGCAACTCAAGGGACACATCTAAGCCCGTCGTTATAACTTATTCATGATGCCTGTGTGCCTAATGGAAAAGGGTACTCTACTCATCTGAACTTAAATATTTAACGTGTGTAATAATATTATGTACAAGACTTACTTGAGGATACTTCAGGGACCTAATCATTGTCCCATTACTTCTCTATGAATACATAAACGTACTAAATAGCGGAGTCAAGTAAATGTAAATTACCTCAAACAACGACAGGTCGATCGATATGACGAGCTTTCTTCAAACAGAATATTTGAGCAAGTAATTTGGTCTTGAATATGTAATGATAATTCTGTTTTGATATAATTATATTTGTTATTGTTTATTACTTGGAAGCCAATTTGTTTAGTTTAGTGTAAGAGCAAAAAATGTTATCTGTATTTCTTAATTGTCGCAAAAAATGTAAACAAACTACTTGTTGAATGATTTGTAATGAATTTCGCGATGATTCATCGCTTTTAAAATTTAGTATTCTTTTACCCAGGTGTATTTATTTACACATTACAAAACTATGTTCTTCCTGCGACCTCTATTCGCTGGGTTTACTTATTGACATCATAAATGTGTAAGCTGACTGATAAGTTACACGTGTGCATTTTATTCATCAGTTAATTTCCAATCGGAAAGGTATTGATCTTATCGGAGCACATCATAAACATAAATAAATAAAACTACAATTTGACTAACTACGTGAGCATGTTAGTGTATCATTGATAAGTCCTTAGACGTTACTATCGGCCATGCGTGATACTATCGTGATAATCGCGTTACGAATGTGCAATGCAATTTATACCTACCTACATTTTAACCGGTTTTAGATTAGGCGCCAGATTGTTATCTAAACGATAAGACCATTGAGTGATAGCAGAGGGTTAAATTGAAACAGATTTTAATCATTTCCTTTGTAAGATTTCAATCTCGTGAATCCAATTTTCTACTGGTGGATAGGTTTTTATTTACGCTTGACAACAAGCGTGTCTGTGTTTTAATATCAAAGTATACATTTTCTTTCTTATCATGGGGATTGGGGACACAAATCCCTTACCTACATGAGAATTTAACGAGTAACGAAATTAACAAAACCTTAGTAGAGTTTGCAATAACGTAGCCGCCGGCTATTCCAAACAAAGTAACTAACTTGACTATTGATTTAGAAGTCGACCTTTTACTTAGTTTGTCAACATTTGTGTTTTTCGTAAAAGCTCAGGCTCTCTCGGTATAATTGAATTTGTTATCCAATCTTGTACGACGACGCAATTTCATAAAGCCTTTGGCTTTTCCTTGTCGCTAAGCAAACTCGAGAGTTGAGATACAAAGTAGAGGTCACCTTGAAAAGTTATTTTCCGTTCATCATTGCAAGGTGAAGGATTTTTCAGGTTATTCACTGTCGTTATTAGTTCGTGTAGTACTATAGGAGTATTTTTCATGGTCTAATGAACTCTCGTTGTAAGTTTTAAAAATTATTTAAATTAAAAAGTGGTAAAATACACTTACTACACTCTATACGAGCATAGGGATCGCATACCTAACGTTATTAGTAAACACGGCTTGATAGGCCAATTCGGCGCCAAAAGGAAACGCAGTACTTATCAATCTTTCACAAAATTTGTAATAACATAGTCCGTTTTATTCTAAACATTCTCTATTAACTTATTTAGGTCAAAGTTTAGTAACTAAACTAACTGGAAGGATCGACCCTAACTACGAACTTCATTTTCTTCTGATTAATTGCGTTGCGGGTCCAATAACGGTTAAACTTTCCCTCGGGTCTAACTATGACCTTAGGTAGGTACTTGTTAGGTTTTTATTGTCGGTTTAGCTGCAGATCCTGGCTACACAGGATTTGAAACGGTGGAAATAATCTCTTTTATAATAACTAAAACAATAATAGTGACTTTTTGTATCTACATATAATCTCTATCACAGCAGTTTAAGTCCTGCATCCTGTGAATCGAATATGATTCATAATTTTTATTATTTCATCGCCGTCACAACACGCGCCGACTATGCTCGGTGTTTCTTTACGAGATCTAATCAGAAATGAGGAGATCCGTAAATGAACTAAAATCGCTGACATAGCCCGACGGATTAGCACGCTTTTGCACATTAGGTTCTTCCGGCAACCTTCACTAGACCGTCGGTCCAACTAGTGGGAGGCGTGCCCACGCTACGTCTTACGGCTCGTGGTTACTATCCATCGTCTCTACGAGCTATGTGCCCCGCCCAGATGCGGGCAGCGCAGGACCGTTCGTTATGGAAATCCTTGGAGCAGGCCTTTGCCCAGCAGTGGACGTCATTAGGCTGAAACAAGAGAAAAAGTGTTAATACTCGTATTTTTTTTGGTTTGCAGATAAGAAATGTCTCGGAGAAGGTTGTTGGTGGGCGGAGCCGCTGGCGTCGCGGGTGCAGCGCTCGCCGCGTGGACGCTAGCAGCTGACGACTCGCCAGGAGTAAGTATCCTGAAGATTCTTCTCCTTCTTCGCTACAGTCTTGGCAGAGTGGTCGTGGTCGTCACACCTGGTTTGGTGGCAAGCTTCACAATCTATCCAGAAGATCATACTCCGTAATTTCATTCAGATTCAATGATATTGACAGAATGGAATCTGATTGGTTATTCAAAACATTTCTCCGCTCCTCTACGCCGTGGTAGAAACCGGACCTAATAATCTGTGCCTGTAGACAACGTGACATATAATTCGTAATCGTTTTGCTAAGTCTTGTATCTAATTTGGAGGCGTTGCGAACTGTCATAGGCATTGTCTAAGCGCAATATCTTCTTCTTCAATCACGAGAATGTTAAAGGGAAGTCTTGGAAATGATTCAACCTTGCCTATTTTGATTTCCCTATTTCGCACCTTAAGAAAATGATGTAAGGGTTAAAATATTTAGGTCATCTACTCATTTCCTTCCCCGTCTTGTTAACTACTGGAAAATACACTATGCGATTAGGCGGGAAACTCGTTAACCACACGAATCCGCGAGGGGGCGCTAACTGCGATAATGGTCGCGCTCGAAACGCTTATGAAACGCTAAAGTATTAATAGAACACAATAATCTAAATACGTACTCTTCAGCTCTATTGTAACGCTGAAAGTATAATACTAAAGATAATCCAGTGTTAAGTCTATCACTATTTAAATAGAGTTCAATGTCATGAAAATTCATTTTGTTATTTAAATTAATGCAAATTTTACATATCAAAATTAAATAGAAAACTACATAATTAGTTAAATTCTGTAGCTTATTGGTTAAACGACAGATCTTCCGCTAAGAAACTGCCTATTTATTAAAAAGCCAATACTACGTCACACTCACAGTTGGTAATTACACAGTTCACTTGAAATTTGAAAGTATTGACTGTGGTTCTATGCATAGGTAGGTTCTACCAGTTCTACGTAAAGCCGTAGTACGTAGCGTGGAAAATGTGATTTACATATTCATCGACGTACGTGTGAAACCTCTTTCATCTCATTTTCTTAGCTTCAGTGGCTCTAAAGGCCATTATCATTCAATTTTCTGTTTGACGAAGAATAGAATTGGTTTCTGAATACATTTTGTCAATTTACACACCAAAGTATCATGTTCTTTAATTAAAGAGTGAAGTTTTCGTATGTGAGCCATGGTGACGACATCCGTTTCTATTATTATTCTGTCCAATGGTGCACTCTATTTATTTAATAACCCATAAACATCTCTAACTGCACTCCTTACTTTACAGCAATGGTACAGACCGACAGTGTCAGCGAAAACAGAACGCAAGAAGCGTCCGCTACCGTCCCGAGCAGAACAAGTTGCGAACCTGCAAGCTGGCCACACGTATGATATCCTCATCATCGGCGGAGGCGCCACTGGGGCAGGGTGTGCCCTGGATGCCACCACTAGAGGTAAGAACATCATCGAACTCTACTGCTTACGTTGCAGAAATAGTACAGACCGCCAGTGTCAGCGAAAACAGAACGCAAGAAGCGTCCCCTGCCGTCCAGGGCAGAACAAGTGGCAAATTTACAAGCTGGCCACACTTATGACATTCTCATCATCGGCGGAGGCGCCACTGGGGCAGGATGTGCACTGGATGCCACCACCAGAGGTAAGAACATCATCGAACTCTACTGCTTACGTTGCAGAAATAGTACAGACCGCCAGTGGTAGGCATCATCATTAAGTCTTATAGGGACACATTCAATTGCTTTGAGTTTGCAATTAACCGCTGTTCAGTGCAGGAAACTCCTGCCAGGAGTTGCTCTCTAATTCACCAAAGGTAAATGTAGGATTTGGCCTTCACTCCCCACGTTGCAGGCCAGTCGGGTTTAGTCACATCAATATAACCCTGGGAATATGAGTTACTGTTTGAAAAGCGATAATTTTTCAACCAAAGGGAACATATCAGGGTAAGAAATAGACGGTTAGTCTGCACCTTATTTTATAAACTTCATGTATTGTGAGGTTTGTTCTCGATACACAATCACACACTATGCTATGCATTTTAATCAATGCAACGGTCTTGACCCGATGGAAACGTGAACCTAATAAAGTGTCGACGATTTGTTCACTACATTATCGTCAGCGATCAATTTTCCGAGTATGATTAACCTTGACTGAGTAACAAAAACATTTGTACGTGAGAACTGCGACTACATTAGAACTTACAAGGCCAGGACCGTATACAAAGTTATTTTTAACAGAAAATCAGAATATACCTACTAGAGTTTTGTTTGTACGATTTTACGATTTCGAAGTCGAAGATGATGTTTCTGAAAAACTTTATAATCTTGATTAACTTCCGCTTTTCTGAAATGACAATACATTTAGAGACGTTTTGTAGAACTGCATCAACATCATCATCATCTCAGACGTCCACTGCTGAACATAGGCTTCCCCCAATGCTTTCCATGTTGCCCGGTTGGTAGCGGCCTGCGTCCAGCGCCTTCCTGCTACCTTTACGAACTGCAGAACAGATTGTTTACATTTTAAAATTAAAGCCATTTGCTTACTCTAATATTCTAGGACTCCGAACCGCCTTAGTAGAAGCAGACGACTTCGCCAGCGGCACATCTAGTCGAAGCACGAAGCTCATCCACGGCGGAGTGCGCTACCTTCAGAAAGCCATCATGGGTCTGGACTACGACCAATACAAGATGGTCAAGGAAGCCCTCCACGAGAGAGCAAATATGCTCGAAGTAGCGCCACACTTGACGAGGCCGCTACCCATCTTGCTGCCAGTATACAAGTGAGTAAAGTATGTCTAAAGTCACTAAATAAGTCAATATACAATTACCCTCTTACTAATAAAAAGTTACACAGTTGTTGAACACTGTTTTAAAATGACATTTCCATACTAAACGTCACTTTAAAACACTGTTCAACGAGCGTGTAAGTTTTATTAGTAAGGGGGTTAGAACTAAAGACTTCATCATCCTCATCATTTCAGCCACAGGACGTCCACTGCTGAACATAGGTCTCCTCCAATGATATCCACATTGCCCGATTGGTAGCAGCCTGCATCCAGCGCCTTCCTGCAAGCTGGCCATGGACAAAGATAAAAGCGTGAGCGTGATCAAACGTAGTGCAAAGTGTAGTAAACCTGCATATTGAAATCGAGGTTGAGACACATTGATTTCCAATTTAATATAGCCCACTACAACGCGGGTGCCATTAAGATTTTACATGTTCTAAACACATTCAGGAATGCAAATACTGTATTTTATGTTCCCATTATTTTTACATAACCGCTATTAAGTTTGCGAATGGAATCTAAAAGCATTTTATTGGATAATTTCATACTGAAACACGAGCTTTTTATTCCGTTTCCATTTGGCATAGAAGAGTTACAAAAACTTATAGAGAGACAGACTTGCTAAGTTTTGTAACGTAACGTTGTTATGTTAGAATTATTTGAACATCGCTTTAAATAAAATTAACGTTTTAAATATTACTACTCAAAAGAAACAAAAAGCTATCAATGTAAAAATAAAGTACAAGAGACTGCCGATTCGAGGATCGATAGAGTGGTACTAGTGGTACCCTAGAAAGGTCTATTCCACTTTGATCACCTGGATAAGATCACCCAGGTAATCAAAGTGGATTTCTTATTCATGGGTGATCAAAAGACACCAAAGCGTCGCCTGGAGAATAGACCCATAGAAATTGTAAATATATCCAACTATTGATACTAACAACTCATCCAAACAACACCCATAAAAAGCCTGTTTCTTATTGCAGATGGTGGCAAGTCCCCTACTACTGGTTCGGCATCAAGATGTACGATTTGGTCGCGGGAGACCGTAACGTGAAAAACTCGTACTACCTATCCAAGAAAAACACCTTGGAACTGTTCCCCATGTTGAAGTCGGATAACCTTTGCGGCGGTATTGTGTATTATGACGGTGAGTACCTCTGACTTACACCCGTATTCACAAACGATGCCTCATACAATAGAAGCCTATAAAACAACGCGAAGAAATGCTGTACATGGAATTATAAATGAGCTGTCCATGTGTAGTAAATTGCTTTAGGTCTGTTCGTGACAGATGAAAGAAAATCTATTTCTCATAACATTGGAGGTTTGCCAATTATGCACCGCGAACATTTCGCATGTCATTTCGTGCAACTTTGTTGGCTTATGTCAACATGCAGCGTGGCTACATCTGTATGATTTCAGTTCAATTACCTGTCTTCGTACGTATCTATAGTAATATTATAAATGCAAAAGTAACTCTGTCTGTCTTGCTTTCACGCCTAAACCACTGAACCGATTTTGACGAAATTTGGCATAGAGATAGCTTGAGTCCCGAGAAAGGACATAGGATAGTTTTTATCCAGGTTTTTGAAACAGGAACGCGAGCGATAAAGTTTTTCTGTGACAGACAAAATTGCACGCGGGCGAAGCCGCAGGCGGAAAGCTAGTAAATAATATGTTTCACTTTTCTTCATGTTTAACATTCTTAGATAACTTTTACTGCTCATCTCATAGTAGGATTTACTGTAGGTATTTATAAGTTGGCAGAATATAATAGACTAGCTTTTGACCTCGGCTTCACCCGCATGAAATTTAGTTTGTCACAGATCGTCATAAATTATAGCCTATATGTTATTCTGTGTTATAAACAATAATACTGTAAAATTTCATCAAAATCCATTCTGTAGTTTTTTGCGTGAAAGAGTAACAAACATCCAGACATCCACACAAATCCATATAATATTAGTAGGATTTTGGGACGGAGCACTTCCTAAAGTTTATGGCAAGATGTGGCTTGAATGATAATTGATAAGTTATGGCTGAAATTCTTAATTATCGCCTCCATTCAATACCAAACATTGCAGGCCAGCAAGACGACGCGCGCATGAACCTCGCGATAGCGCTCACAGCGGCACGGCACGGCGCCACCATCGCCAACCACGTCAGCGTCACCAAGCTCTACAAGACCGGCGGCAAGCTAAGTGGCGCTAGAGTGCGGGTGAGTTGAAGTCTACCCACCACTGACCTCTATACTGAACAGGCTGTCTCATATAAATGACAGCTAATTTTGTGTGCCAATTTAAAGCGTCACTATGGCTGGTTTTAGTGTCACGCAGACCGTCCGGTGCGGACCCGCTCCGCACGGCCAATCTGTATGAACTTCTAGGGAGCGTTTTAGAGTAATGCGGTCCGGAGGAACCGCTCCGCTCCCTAGCAGTTCATACAGATCGGCTGTGTGGAGCGATCCGCACTGACAGCCCGCGTGACACTAAAACCAGCCTAAGAGTGTCCCGAGAACTAATTTTGACGTACATTGGAGTCCATAGGAGTAAGCGAGAAAGAAAATTACTTAGTTCCATGGACAAAAATATCATAACAGCAGCCAATCCAGTGTGTACCTATAGAGGTCAGTGTTACCCAACCACTCTTTTGTTTTATGTTGCGGTATACTAGGCGGTAACGTCTATTTACGCGACTCTCATTTGTTTTGTGTCAAAATGGTACGCCGATACTGGCCGCTTTGGAAGTCTTTTATTTTATGTTTGATTGACATCGATACTGGCCGGTTACACTGTTGTCTTTTGTTTTAAATGAAATATTTGTAGGCATTAGGCCCAACTCTTGTCCATTTGTTCCTTCAGACTACATGACTGGGGACTGGGTCTCTACCTGTTCATTTAGCATCAATAACATCTCGCTAATACTGAATTTCTATTCTAATTTGTACAATACGAACTGCAAAAAAGTGGAAGAATATTCCAAAAAGTCACTCACTCCTTGAACTTCTATAAAATCGAACGACTAAATAGGTAAATCGTACAGTGAGTAATCATATTCCATCATGGCCGGATCGGAACTCAGAAAGTACACACAATAATAATTTTCTTCATATTCTCGTAGGATGAGATGACCGGCAAAGAATGGGACGTAAAAGCCAAGTGCATCATCAACGCGACCGGACCGTTCACGGATAGCATCCGCAAGATGGACGACGTCAACATCAAGGAGATATGCTGCCCATCGTCTGGTGTACACATCGTGCTGCCCGGATATTACAGGTGAGATGGCTAACAAGATTTTAAACATTCGCGTTCCATTTCAATGAGGGTTTTCGCGATTGAAAAATCCGCCAGATGGCAATACGTAGACGCGAGGTCCAAATGCTGCATGTTGGTTATTTTTGACATGACATTGACAGATATGTCAAAATCCACCAATCACGCAGCATTTGGACCTCGCGTCTACGTATTGCCATCTGGCGGATTNGCGATTGAAAAATCCGCCAGATGGCAATACGTAGACGCGAGGTCCAAATGCTGCATGTTGGTTATTTTTGACATGACATTGACAGATATGTCAAAATCCACCAATCACGCAGCATTTGGACCTCGCGTCTACGTATTGCCATCTGGCGGATTTTTCAATCGCGAAAACCCTCATTTAAATAGTAAGACACGGTTCTTAACACGACGTTTATTAATGAGTTACATAAGGTACTCACGGCTTGACGTTTCGGCTGCGATGCTGTCAAGCCGTGAGTAGGTACATAATGTAACTCATTAATAAACGTCGCGTTAAGACCCGTGTCTTAGGCTGGGTTGCACCACCTTACTTTAACGGTAACTATGACGATAACCGGTGCTTTTTGTATGGATTTTGACAGATTTTTGACGTTTGTTAAAGTAAGATGGTGCAACCCAGCCTTACTATTTTAGGTGGCTAACAAGTTATAAACTTAGGCTGAGAGTCTGTTACACCAGTGGAATCCCGGGATTGACAAATTCACATATTTATCTGAACGTTGTCTAACAAATAAGGGTGTCTGATTATTTCAATGTGCTGGTGACTTCATCTGCCAGATAGACTGATAAATCAGCAACTACCATGTGAAACTATAAGTTGCCGTTAAACCTTTACCTGGCAGATAAGTTCTAGAAGTAGGTAAATAAGTATCGGCAAATGCACATGGCATTACAATATTGCTCTAACTGAAAGTTACCAAATGTTTTTCCTTGTGGCAATCGACCCCTAGAAATTGGAAGTCAGTCAGCTTATATCTCATAAGACCTGCACAGGGTTCACCGCTCGAACCCAACCCAAAAAGTTTTTTTATTCATCAGCCCAGAGCACATGGGTCTTCTTGACCCGGCTACATCAGACGGGCGCGTCATCATCTTCCTTCCTTGGCTAGCACGGCTCGTAATTCAAAAAGACTGTCAGGAATCACCATTCTTATCTAACCCAAAAAGTATTAGTATGTTCACCAGTGGTAGGGCAAGCTATATTTGGGACGTGTATTAAGTGCCCTGGAAAGGGCCTATGTACTACTAGAGGCTGGTAGATCATTTCTCATAAATAAAACACTGAATTCTCAACTTTCACATTATATTGCCTTATTTTAAATACAATTCATCACTTAGCACAAAAGCGCGCGGAGTCGTCTCCGCGCGTCCCGCTATTCTGACGTTTGGTCCTAGTGTGACATTGACATTACGTCAATGTCACTATGACAGCAGCTCATTGGCCATAATGATACCGTTATTTTAACGTTTTAGCTTTTTCACAATTAACAGTACTGAATAAACTATTCCATTTCAGTCCCGAACACATGGGTCTGCTCGACCCGGCGACATCGGACGGGCGCGTCATTTTCTTCTTGCCCTGGTTGAAAGGCACCATCGCAGGCACCACCGACCTGCCGTGCCAGGTCACGCACAACCCCAAGCCTACTGAAGACGAGATTCTATTCATCCTACAGGAGGTCAAGAACTATCTCAACCCTGATGTTGAAGGTATGTTGTTTGTGACTGAGAAATATTGAAAACAAAATATTTATTTGGAACAAAGAGTACGCATATTCTAACAATCACAGAAGGTAACCCCATTATTAGAGGTACTTTTACTGCCTGCTGTAACTGTAGAGTTGAGTAGAATTACTGCAAACTATAATATAAGACGTCTGCATATTAAACAGAGAACGGGCAGCAGTGCTCTCTGATAAACATGTATCTTTTAAACTGCAATCTCCAACCCGCCTGCCAAGCGTGGAGATTATGACTAAACCCTTCACTAAAGTAATGGAGGCTGGACTGTAATGGGCTGTTGATGGTGATGATGGAGGAGTAGACTGTAGAACCTAGCTATACAGTAGTTGCAGTATTTCCCTAACTATTCCTCCGTCGTGGCAAAGTAGAATGCAATGGTGGTAGCGAGAGGTGGGATTAGTTCCGTTATTAGGAAGTAAACGCGCTATATCTTAGCGTATAAATTCTGACAAATATTCAACGAGGTCTTTTATAATAAAGCTTTTTCTATTCTATTCTTCCCCCAGTCCGACGCGGCGACGTCCTGTCCGCCTGGTCGGGCATCAGGCCGCTAGTGTCGGACCCCAACAAACCCGACACGCAGTCGCTAGCCCGCAACCACATCGTCCACGTATCGCAATCGGGACTCGTCACCATCGCCGGCGGCAAGTGGACCACCTACCGCTCCATGGCGATGGAGACTATCGACGCTGCTATTGAAAGTGAGTATGGGCAGGCCTGTTCATCTCCGCGAGTTTGCATCGAAAACAAAACACGCGCGACGACCCCTCCTAAGGTACCCGAGGTAATCGACAGGACAATCACGAGCGAGTATTGACGGACGCACGTGTATTCTTCACCCATTTGCATTGTAGAGACAATAAACTATATGTAAAAACGGTGGTGTAATTAATACTGTGCAGTATTTTTTAACTGCCTGAATAATAATATAAACACAAAATATAATTCATGCTTAATAGTACGAGAGCCCACGACCAAAATTTTTGTCTCATAGCAATACGGCCAAAACCGCATCAAATCGATAGATACGATTATCCTGAACTCGAAAATACCAATATCAGACATTTTCCGCGTAGCGTTTGATCTGACCGAATTTTCAAAATTGTCAAAGCATTTTACCGAACTGCATCATAGCAATATGTCTGATTTGCAGACTGTAGTTGAATGATAGTTCTGAGATACCGGAAACATAATTTTTCAGACGTTAGTAGTGTAGCGCAAACCCGTAAAATCACTTAAAAAAATTAAAAATGAGACAAATAAAATGTCTCATAGCAATACGTCTGAAAATATTTTTTATTAGTAAATTTTGGTTATTTGATGCGAACAAAACAATTTTCAGACGAAAATGTGAACGCATTAAATTTTGAGACCGTTTTTAAAATGTTAACAAATTTTACCGATCGGTATCATAGCAATATGTCTGAAAATTGTTGGACATGATAAAATAAGTTGTCCACATGTGCAAAAAATTTATATCAGACAAATTAAGTGTAGCACCTTCTCTATCAGACAACTTTTCGATACTCAGATATCATTTAAAAATCGTATTGAGGCATCTTGAATTTTCTGTTACAAACTAATGAATATGTTGCGACCCTGAATTTATTAGATGATATTTAACAAAGAATTTACCCGAAACCGTAACATTGAAGTTGAAGGACTGAAATAAATCGCACAAAAGGAAACTGGGATGAAGTTGAATACTACACTTAAAGTGTCTGAAAACAGGTTTTTGGTAATCATGGCAGCAATACGAAAAGTTGTAAATTTTTTTTATCCGTATTGCTATGATACAGGTCGGCTAAATTTGTTGACATTTTCAAAAATGCGCTCAGGCTATATGCTACGCGCAAAATGTCTGAAAACAAACTTTTTCGTAATACAATTATAAAATCTATGTACATTTTCACTTTCAGACGTATTGCTATAATACCGACTGTCTTTTTTTTTTGACACAGCAGAAATGGCCTCCCACGCAGTTGCTACACTTTCGACCGTTACTACACACCTAGTCGGGTTCAGAATCATACAATCTAACGATTTTATAGGGTTTTAGCCGTATTGCTATGAGACATGGTTTTGGTCGTGGGCTCTCGTACTATAACCATGTATTTACTCCGCCATTTTCCGCAGTTTGGCACCTCACGTCACACATCATTTTACCGAAGTCAGCCCTATGCCTTCGGCGCAGTACCGAACACTGACGTTTGTCAACAAAATGGTGCTCGACTATTGAGACAAGCTAAAATATACCATATTGTTAACGACATAGCATACATTTTTTTAAATACCTTTGCGAAGAAAATCTTCTGTACGTAGTAGGTACTTGTTATTATTTTGTGATATGGGATAAACTTTACCGTCAAAAACTCGTGATCTTTGTGCATTAATTTTAGAATAAATATCACCAATCGACCAACTAACGTGCTTTTTATGAACTGGCAAAATGTGACGTCAAACACCTACACAGGTGTGACATTCTGTTAGTTTGAAGTTGCTCATTATCCACTGCAGTATCAGTACTCAACGCGAACGTTCGCATAATCTTTAGTACTACGCAAGCAATGTAAACTGTTTACACATATGACGTCACTGCTGTCATCTTTGCTGTCGCGAGCAATGTGTTCTGTTTTTGGGCATATTGCTGCGACACTGGCCCCGCCCCCTTTTCATAACTCCCTTCAGTTTCTGGGATCTGTGGTTTAAATGGTTATACATTTGACAACTGCATTGTATTTGTTTCTTCAGGCGCGAGTCTGAAACCCCTGTTCCGCGAATGCCAAACCGACGGGTTCCTGATCGAAGGTGCCCACGGCTGGACGCCCACCATGTACATTAGATTAGTGCAGGACTTCGGCCTGGAAATGGAAGTGAGTACTCTAAAATATTGACTTAAGGTACTTTTTTTTTGCGTCAGGAAAATACATTAATTTGTATACCCACCAGCCGCGGGGGCAGTTAGTGGGTTATGTAGGGTTCTCCCTGCCAGAAGGGCAGGGCTTACCCACTAAAAACCTGACGTTGCCCTCGGTAGCCATATGAGTCGGGAACGCGGGACATCACTATTGGCGTTTTGCCTCAAGCATTCGTCCGCGTTCCCTGCTCGGCATTCGGCTCGCTTAGTGCGCAGCCCCAAACCAAGGAAGTCGTCTATATGCCTTCAACCTCCTGCGAGCGGCACGCAGGACATTTATTTATTTATTTATTTATTAGGTATATACTACATTGACTTAAGGTACTCTAGTATCTATGCTATCCACATTATGACAATGATTTTGTACTTTTGAATAATGACTCTTTTCAGTGAGTTGTCTTGGCCAAGTCTGTCTCTTTTTGACCACACATACGACTACATGCACAATAAAATTATTTTCTTGTTTTTATCTTTCGTTCTGATTGCCTTTTAACTAATGACAGTCCACAGGTCCAATGATAATTGAACTCTTCTTCAGAACAAACTTGGCCTTCACTTGTGGGTTTTATTGGTAGATCCTGGATACACAGGAGTTGCAGATAGGGTCGAAAGATGGGAACAACCTCGTGCCCTTAATGACTGTTCCAGGTCGCGCAACACTTGGCCAAGTCGTACGGCGACCGCGCGTTCGCGGTAGCCAAGATGGCGGCCATGACCGGTAAGCGGTGGCCCATCATCGGCAAGAAGGTGCATCCCGAGTTCCCTTACATCGACGCTGAGATTCGGTATGTTGTTTTTATAATACGAGTAGTCTTAATTTGGCCACTTTCGCTTACTACTGTACGATATGACTGACTGCACAATAGCATTATAAACAGACCTTTCCAAAAGGGTGTTATAATAATCAAAGCTTACATTTCCCTGTACGTGGTGATATGAACTTGTTGAAGTAGGCGTTTACTGTTCTTCTCGTTTTGAAGTACTGGAAAGGCAAAGAAAAGAGACGATTAAGGTCCCATAAAAAGGAAACTCCGTAATGAAGTTTGCAGTGGCCTAGACAGACTGCTCGTTTTTGGGAAAATCAACGTTGTAAACCACAAATCACGTAAAATGGTGGTATCGAGAGTCTAAGGCCCAGAACAGACGATGAAACGCGACTTCAACGAAACTGCAACTGCTAGTTACTTTTGAATTGCATCTAAGTTTCTGCCATAGCGTCCGTTGAGAGACGTTGAAAGTTTCATACTGGTCGCGTCATGTGTGGTCTCTCAACGGAATCTATGGCAGAAATTTAGATGCAACTCAAAAGTAACTAGCTGTTGCAGTTTCGTTGCAGTCCCGTTTCACTGTCTGTTCTGGGCCTAAGTGCGAATGTTAGTGAATTTCCCCGTGTTTCAGGTATGGTGTTCGGGAATATGCGTGCACAGCTGTAGACATGATCGCACGGCGCTTGCGTCTGGCCTTCCTCAACGTGCAGGCCGCGTCCGAGGCGCTGCCCGCCATCGCTGATATTATGGCCGAGGAGCTCAAGTGGAGCGACTCAGAGAAAGCCGTGAGTGTCTCTTAATACAAGGGGATAAGGTCGAGTATATTGTGGCCGAGGAGCTCGTAGTGTCGCCTGCGCCTGACCACCTCTAATACAAGGGAATAAGGTCGAGTATGCGTGCACATCATGATCGCGCAACGCCTAGCCTTCTAAAAGTTGCAGGCTGCGGCCGAGGCGCTGCCCGCCATCGCTGATATTATGGCCGAGGAGCTCAAGTGGAGCGACTCCGAGAAAGCCGTGAGTGTCTCTCTTAATACAAGGGGATAAGGTCGAGTATGCGTGCACAGCTGTAGAAATGATTGCACGGCGCTTGCGTCTGGCCTTCCTCAACGTACAGGCCGCGTCCGAGGCGCTGCCCGCCATCGCTGATATTATGGCCGAGGAGCTCAAGTGGAGCGACGCAGAGAAAGCCGTGAGTGTCTCTTAACACAAGGGGATAAGGTCGAGTGTATTGTGGCCGAGGAATTCGTAGTAGCCTGCGCCTGACCACCTCTAATAGAAGGGAATAAGGTCGAGTATACGTGCACAGCTGGGACAAGATAGCGCGGCGCCTGCGTCTGGCCTTCCTCAACGTGCAGGCCGCGTCCGAGGCGCTGCCCGCCATCGCTGATATTATGGCTGAGGAGCTCAAGTGGAGCGACGCAGAGAAAGCCGTGAGTGTCTCTTAACACAAGGGAATAAGGTCGAGTATGCGTGCACATCATGATCGCGCAACGCCTAGCTTTCTAAAAGTTGCAGGCTGCGGCCGAGGCGCTGCCCGCCATCGCTGATATTATGGCCGAGGAGCTCAAGTGGAGCGACGCAGAGAAAGCCGTGAGTGTCTCTTAATACAAGGGGATAAGGTCGAGTGTATCGTGGCCGAGGAGCCCGTAGTGTCGTCTGCGCCTGACCACCTCTAATACAAGGGGATAAGGTCGAGTATGCGTGCACAGCTGGGACATGATCGCGCGACGCCTGCGCCTGGCCTTCCTCTGCCCGCCATCGCAGATATCATGGCCGAGGAACTCAAGTGGAGCGACTCCGAGAAAGCCGTGAGTGTCTCTTAATACAAGGGGATAAGGTCGAGTATGCGTGCACAGCTGTAGACATGATCACGCGGCGCCTGCGCCTGGCCTTCAACGTGCAGGTCCCGTCCGAGGCGCTGCCCGCCATCGCTGATATTATGGCCGAGGAGCTCAAGTGGAGCGACTCCGAGAAAGCCGTGAGTGTCTCTTAATACAAGGGAATAAGGTCGAGTATATTGTGGCCGAGGAACTCGTAGTATCGCCTGCGTCTGACCACCTCTAATACAAGGGGATAAGGTCGAGTATATTGCACAGCTGGGATATGATCGCGCGGCGCTTGCGCCTGGCTTTCCTCAACGTACAGGCCGCGTCCAAAGCGCTGCCTGCCATCGCTGATATTATGGCTGAGGAGCTCAAGTGGAGCGACGCAGAGAAAGCCGTGAGTGTCTCTTAACACAAGGGGATAAGGTCGAGTATGCGTGCACAGCTGGGACATGATCGCGCGGCGCCTGCGCCTGGCCTTCCTCAACGTGGCATCATGGCCGAGGAGCTCAAGTGGAGCGACTCCGAGAAAGCCGTGAGTGTCTCTTAATACAAGGGGATAAGGTCGAGTATGCGTGCACAGCTGGGATAAGATCGCGCGGCGCCTGCGTCTGGCCTTCCTCGTCTTGAGTCCTTCCTGCGTCACCTCTAACACAAGGGAATAACGTCCAGTATGCGTGCGCGGCGGGGGCACGCCGAAAAGGCCGTGAGTTATGCGTTTTTTTACCTTTTTTATTCAAAATACTCTCGCAACTATATTATTTCATTGTCGTGAGGGTAAGTAAACTAAATGTGGGTCTAACCAGATAATCCGAGCACGAGCGGAGTACGAGCCGAGTTAAATTGATTGTTGTAGGCTCGTTGTACATCTACCTGATATCGCGTCATCACACTGATATCGCGAGTAGAGTGGCTAGGCTTACGCTCAGCTCATGCTCGGCTCGTCTAGCATAGACCCACCTAAGAGCCGGCATATAAAAGCATTGAAAAACTTAACGGGCCTCTTGATCATTCATTGTTACTTTCAGACTGCTCAAAGCTTTCATAGATTTATAGGCATATAACGACTATTACCCGTAAATATTCCAGAGACAAATCAAAATGGCGAACGACTTCCTAGCAGCCGAGATGGGCCAGATGGTGAACCGGGCCAGCCGCGACAAGATCCCCATTAACCTGTCCAAGGACGAGATCCAGACCTACATCAAACGCTTCCAGATCATCGACAAGGACAGGAAGGGATACGTCTCTATCAACGACATCAGGAGAAGTCTTAAGGTATGGAGGAAGACACTCCATCATGCAGTGATACACGTTACAAAACTGCCGTGCTAGCGATATCAGCAATAACTCCAATATTTTGCTGTTAAAAAAACTACCGTCAGCTCATCTGAAATAGAGCTCATAATACTTTTTCCAAAAAATGGAGTTACTGCTGATATCGCTAGCACGGCAGAAAAGTTATTGGCAATATCGCTCTGGAAACGTTTCCGTGGTTAAGAGAGTTCAAAGGATAAAACGATTCTCTTTCAATTTGAAAGTTCTGGGTTCGATTCTCAGACGGATTAGAAAGATTACTTCATGTTTCAAACCAGTGGCTGGCAGTGGTTTGCAGTTATTGCAAAGACATAAAAATATATCTTCAAGAAATGTAATTTGAAAAAAATATTGGATAGCCTGCATCTTCCCCAGCTAGAAAATACATTTTTGTGTTTAATAATCCAATACATTTTATTTCAGCGAACAATAACGCAGATGGTGCCACCTTTTATGTAACTTTTTAGCCCTATTTTTTGACAACAAATGACATCGCTTCTGGGCCTTTTTGGCAATGTGTGACCTACCTAACCTAGTGTAGAAACCAATGACAGTTGCATTCAAAGCTCACCAACGTAGGCTCTTATAAAAATTATGACGCGAATGTTCTAGAGCATGGGTTTGAGGCCGAGCGACGCAGAGATTAGTTCGATCCTGTCAGAGATTGACGTCACGTACCACGGCCAGATGGAGATCCAGGACTACCTGCAGGTAGACCGTAGCGGGGTCAATGTCCTTCACGCGCCATTTGTGTTGTCGAGGGGTGTCAACGGTGTCAAACTGCGAATTTACGATTTGCATTTGTTTTTCGAACGATATTTAGACGATTTTAGTACTAATTATTAGTTGCTTCTTTATTGTTTTGGATATAAAATAAATATTACGTTATGGAAATCAATGCAAATCTAAAATTCGCAAAATTTAGTGTGGCGTTTTGTGAGGCTTTCTTCAACTGGCCTTTCCAAAATGAATCTTTCGTCTTAGAAAACCTTGCAGAACCACAATGGGTCTTCCATAATGTCATGTCATGTCATGTCACAGCTGACTGCTAAGCTTGTCTCCACAGAACTACGGCGAGGAGGTGACCGGTGAACAGTTGCACGAAATTCTGAAAGAGATCGACACTAACATGAACGGACAAGTCGAACTCGACGAATACCTACAGGTTATACCGCCTGACTCGATTTTCAAATTGTTTTCCTGGCTGATTTTAACTTTTTTTGACCAACTCATTTAAAAAATAAAAAAACAAATGAATAATTGTCGTAGAATTTATAATTTTAAATCAATGCAACCGAGTACTAACTGTAGAAACAGACTACCAGATACTTTGGTCAAAAAATAAATAATACTTTTTTGTTATTATCGGCCTTTATTTATTGCATGTATTTTAAATATTATCTCTTTTTAACAACGTTTAATTTAAGTATATTATCAGCCTGTAATTATTAATGCACGTTGTATTTTTATTTTATTTTATGCCTTAAAACAACGTTTAATTTAATTTGATTACTAAGACAATAAAAGCATGGCTTTTTTTGCTATGAATCTTTCTTTTATATGTTGCATGGTCTTTCTTAGTTGCATGAGGTAGTTGTGGGTAACAATAATTCACTTAAATTTTAACATGAATAATCCTCATCTGAACTAATTTTCCCAATTCTTTATCAATCATAAAAAACATCCTTGTTTTTACTAACAAAATAAATATAATTTACTACTTATTTATCTAACATTATATTTTATACCTAAAGCAAGCTTCTAATAACTAATTTAATGGAATAACATACTTAATTATTTGTCTTTATTTATTTCCAATAACTAATATCTTATAATATTATTTTAATTAAAAAATCTTTATTATTATTTTTTTTAATCTCGACTTGATTCCAAGATTGTTCGCTGTGTAAAGCTCTTTTTCTTTAGTGAAAAATTATCTGTGTTTTATTTATTTATCTTTGTGATGGGAACATCTTAAAATCTTGTCCGAAATCTTCCACATAGCCTGGCGTGCCTTTGCATTATACTCGTACATTCAAATCCTACAAAAGGCTGAACCTCCTCAATTAATGGTTTTTTTCTTATTGTAAAAAGGTTCAAAACTGCAGATTTGAATTTTATATCATATTCATAAAGTTCCAAATAAATAAATCTTTCCATTTAGTAAGTCGTTATGCTGTCGAGAGTACAAAGTCATGCCATGCACACGTATCCATGTGAATACACCTTAAAACTTAGTCTTCACACAGATGATGTCAGCCATCAAGTCCGGGCACGTGGCGTACTCGCGGTTTGCTCGCATGGCGGAAATGGAGGAGGAGCATCATGAAAAGGAGATCCTTAAGAAGAAAATCACCGTTGAGAGGAGCGGCGGAGGCTTGTAAGCACGGTCAGTGGACATTATTATCATTTATCATCCACAAATCTCGATTCACTTAAGTATACAGGGTGTTAGGTGAATGGGTATATGAGCCGACACTAGCCCACGTTAACATAATTATGCATATAAATGGTATGGTGAAGTCAGAAAGGACAGTGCCAATCCATGTATGGAAGTTGGACCAAGTGCTGCCCAGAATGAAACTATAGTGCATTTCGTTCCTCAGGCCAATACTAATTTGTAAACTGGAGCGCACTAAAATCTATCCCTGAAGTTAAGAGAAAAAAAGAATTTTGTTTTGAATTATTTACATACAAAATATCATCAATATATACCTACTACGGATAAGACTTCGCGATTTTGGCATTAAATAACACTCGCTATGTTAAACTTAACCATACTGCATCCGTACACCTTACTTTAGTGCGACTTCGACATTATTTATAAGCGATCGAGCGCTGTTTCAGTAGTTTAGTTAGTTGACCGAAATTAATTATTTCCAAAATGGAGCAAGAAGTTTTAGCTTACAATAACTTCAATAATCAATTTTAATACACCAATAAATTGATTTTTCGCAAGGATAGAGAACTAAAACTTCTTGCTTTATTTTGGAAATAATGATTTCTNGTAGGGCCGCAGAGAGCGAGCAAGTTTTTGTTCCAACTTTGCCCTCCATTTTTATCTTTAGCTTCATGATCCTGGCTACACAGGAGTTGCAGATGGGATCGAAAGATGGGAATAACCTCGTGCCCTTAATGACTGTTCCAGGTCGCGCAACACTTGGCCAAGTCGTACGGCGACCGCGCGTTCGCGGTGGCCAAGATGGCGGCCATGACCGGTAAGCGGTGGCCCATCATCGGCAAGAAGGTGCATCCCGAGTTCCCTTACATCGACGCTGAGATTCGGTATGTTGCTTTAAAATAGTCTTATGCCCGTTTCCACCATCAATCCCTAATTTTTAAGTGACCCGGTGACAAATAACAGGAATTTTGTTTGCATAGGGGTCACTCAAAAATTAGGAATATAATTGATGGTGAAAACGGGCATAAGTTTGTCTATTTTCACTTTGTACTGTACTATATCACTGACTCATGTACAATAGCATTAAAAAGTCCTTTTAATTTGTTGAGCTGGGCGTTTCCCGTTCTTCTCGTTTTGAAGTACTGGAAAGGCAAAGAAGAGAGACGAATAAGGTCCAATAAAAAGGCAACTTCGTTAAGAAGCTTGCAGTGGCCTAGACAGACTGCTCGTTTTTTGGGATAATCAACGTTGTTAACCATAAATCACGTACAATGGTGGTATTGAGTTGAGAGTCCAAGGTCCAGAACAGACGGTGAAACGCAACTGCAACGAAACTGCAACTGCTAGTTACTTTTGAGTTGCATCTAAGTTTCTGCCATAGCGTCCGTTGAGAGACGTTGAAAGTTTCAAACTGGTCGCGTCATGTGTGGTCTCTCAACGGAATCTATGGCAGAAACTTAGATGCAACCTCAAAAGTAACTAGCTGTTGCAGTTTCGTTGCAGTTGCGTTTCACTGTCTGTTCTGGGCCTAAGTGCGAATGTAAGTGAATTTCCCGTGTTTCAGATATGGTGTTCGGGAATATGCGTGCACAGCTGTAGACATGATCGCGCGGCGCTTGCGTCTGGCCTTCCTCAACGTGCAGGCCGCGTCCGAGGCGCTGCCCGCCATCGCTGATATTATGGCCGAGGAGCTCAAGTGGAGCGACGCAGAGAAAGCCGTGAGTGTCTCTTAACACAAGGGGATAAGGTCGAGTATGCGTGCACAGCTGGGACATGATCGCGCGGCGCCTGCGTCTGGCCTTCCTCGTCTTGAGTCCTTCCTGCGTCACCTCTAACACAAGGGTATAACGTCCAGTATGCATGCGCGGCGGGGGCACGCCGAAAAGGCCGTGAATTATGCGTTTTTTGACCTTTTTGATTCAAAATACTCTGGCAACTATATTTCATTGTCGTGAGGGTTAGTAAACTAAATGTGGGTCTAACCAGATAATCCCAGCACGAGCGGAGTAGGTACGAGCCGAGTTAAATTGATTGTTGTAGGCTCGTTGTAATCTACCTGATATCGCGTCATCACACTGATATCGCGAGTAGAGTGGCTAGGCTTGCGCTCAGCTCATGCTCGGCTCGTCTAGCATAGACCCACCTAAGAGCCGTCATATAAAAGCATTGAAAAACTTAACGGACCTCTTGATCATTCATTGTTACTTTCAGACTGCTCAAAGCTTTCATAGATTATAGGCCCATATAACAACTATCACCCTTAAATATTCCAGAGACAAATCAAAATGGCGAATGACTTCCTAGCAGCCGAGATGGGCCAGATGGTGAACCGGGCCAGTCGCGACAAGATCCCCATTAACCTGTCCAAGGACGAAATCCAGACCTACATCAAGCGCTTCCAGATCATCGACAAGGACAGGAAGGGATACGTCTCTATCAACGACATCAGGAGAAGTCTTAAGGTAGGGAGGAAGACACTCCATCATGCAGTGATACACGTTACAAAACTGCCGTGCTAGCGATATCAGCAATAACTCCAATATTTTGCTGTTAAAAAAACTACCGTCAGCTCATCTGAAATAGAGCTCATAATACTTTTTCCAAAAAATGGAGTTACTGCTGATATCGCTAGCACGGCAGAAAAGTTATTGGCAATATCGTTTCCGTGGTTAAGAGAGTTCAAAGGATAAAACGATTCTCTTTCAATTTGAAAGTTCTGGGTTCGATTCTCAGACGGATTAGAAAGATTACTTCATGTTTCAAACCTGTGGCTGGCAGTTGTGTGCAGTTATTGCAAAGACATAAAAATATATCTTCAAGAAATGTAATTTGAAAAAATATTGGATAGCCTGCATCGTCACCAACTAGAATATGCATTTTTGTGTTTAATAATCCAACACATTTTATTTCAGCGAACAATAACGCAGATGGTGCCACCTTTTATGTAACTTATTAGCCCCATTTTTCGACAACAAATGACATCGCTTCTGGGCCTTTTTGGCAATGTGTATACCTAGTGTAGAGCCTGGTCCGTGAGCACGTAGAATTTTGTCCAATAACCCCAAGCTACCCATCCTTATCGCTCGCGCGTAATAATATTGCTGTCGCGACTGTGCGACGGGCGCCCGCAGTGAGTGTGCGAGCGCGACAGCAACATAATTACGCGCGAGCGATAAAGATAAATAAATAATAATAATAATAAAGACATTAGAAACCAATGACAGTTGCATTTAAAGCTCACCAATGTAGGCTCTTATAAAAATATATGGCGCGAATGTTCTAGAGCATGGGCTTGAGGCCGAGCGACGCGGAAATTAGCTCGATTCTCTCCGAGATCGACGTCACGTACCACGGCCAGATGGAGATCCAGGACTACCTGCAGGTAGACCGAGAGCGGGGTCAATGTCCTTCACGCGCCATTTGTGTTGTCGAGGGTGTCAATGGTGTCAAACTGCGAATTTACGATTTGCATTTGTTTTTCGAATGGTATTTAGACGATTTTGCAGCAGAATCGATATAATAATTGGTTTCTTGACGCATTTCTTAATTGTTTTGGATATAAATAAATGAATATTACTTGCAAAAAATATGCTAAACCATTGGAAGTCAATGTAAATCTAAAATTCGCACAATTTAGTGTGGCATTTTGTAAGGTTTTCTTCGACTGGCATTTTCAAAATGATCTTTCGTCTTAGAAAACCTTGCAGAACCACAGTGGGTCCTTCATAATGTCATGTCATGTCACAGCTGACTGCTAAGCTTGTCTCCACAGAACTACGGCGAGGAGGTGACCGGTGAACAGTTGCACGAAATTCTGAAAGAGATCGACACTAACATGAATGGACAAGTCGAACTCGACGAATACCTACAGGTTATACCGCCTGACTCGATTTTAAATTGTTTTCCTGGCTGATTTTAACTTTTTTTGACCAACTCATTTAAAAATTGAAAAAACAAATGAATAATTGTCGTAGATTATAAATCAATGCAATCGAGTACTAACTGTAGAAACAGACTACCAGATACTTTGGTCAAAAAATAAATAATACTTTTTTGTTATTATCGGCCTTTATTTATTGCATGTATTTTAAATATTATCTCTTTTTAACAACGTTTAATTTAAGTATATTATCGGTCTGTAATTATTAATTCACGTTGTATTTTTATTTTATGCCTTTAAACAACGTTTAATTTAATTTCATTATTAAGACAATAAAAGCATGGCTTTTTTTTTGCTATGTATCTTTCTTTTATATGTTGCATGGTCTTTCTTAGTTGCATGAGGTAGTTGTGGGTAACAATAATTCACTTAAATTTTAACATGAATAATGCTCATCTGAACTAATTTTCCCATTTCTTTATCAATCATAACATAAAAATATCAAAAACATCCTTGTTTTTACTTACATAATAAATATAATTTACTATTTACTTACATTGTATTTTATACCTAAAGCAAGCTTTTAATAACTAATTTAATGGAATTACATACTTTACATGCTTATTTTGATTATTTTTCTTTATTTATTTCCAATAACTAATATCTTATAATATTATTTTATTAAAAAATCTTTCTTATTTTATTTTTTAAATCTCGACTTTATTCCAAGATTGTTCGCTGTCTAAAGCTCTTTTCTTTAGTGAAAAATTAACGATTTCGGACATGATTCTAAGATGTTCCCATCACAAAGATAAATAAATAATGCTTGGGATTTACACACATCCCAAGCATTATTTATTTATCTTTGTGATGGGAACATCTTAGAATCTTGTCCAAAATCTTCCACATAGCCTGGCGTGCCTTTGCATTATACTCGTACTCGTACATCCAAATCCTACGAAAGGCTGAATCTCTTCAAATAATTGATGTTTTTTTAACTCATTGTAAAAAGGTTCAAAACTGTAAATGAATTTTGAATTTTATATCATCTTCATAAAGTTCAAAATAAATTGAAAAATCTTTCCATTTTGTAGTAAGTCGTTATGCTGTCGAGAGCACAAAGTCATGCCATGCACACGTATCCATGTGAATACACCTTAAAACTTAGTCTTCACACAGATGATGTCAGCCATCAAGTCCGGGCACGTGGCGTACTCGCGGTTTGCTCGCATGGCTGAAATGGAGGAGGAGCATCATGAAAAGGAGATCCTCAAGAAAAAAATCACCGTTGAGAGGAGCGGCGGAGGCCTGTAAGCACGGTCAGTGGACATTATTATCATTTATCGTCCACATCTCGATTCACTTAAGTATACAGGGTGTTAGGTGAATGGGTATATGAGCCGACACTAGCCCATGTTAACATAATTATGCATATAAATGGTATGGTGAAGTCAGAAATTTGATATCATCATTTTAATTTTTTAAATGTTCATACAAAATAAAATTTATAAAATCAGATTCTTGTTAAACATAGAAATTCATCCGATCAATCATTGTTTTGAGATTAAATCGAGCTTTTTTAGTGCTTATTTTACAAGATTTTATTTAATGTATGTTTGGATCAAATCTTGCAAGCTAATTAGACTTACTTCCTGACAAACGATTGAATTGAGATGCATGCACATGTAATTCGGATGATAAAATAATTTAATGATGTCATGGAACTGGTCTCAATATTATGATGGAGCCGAAAGATAGCCATACTGCTCTAAGCGATTCTTATGTACCTGTGTGCCTACCCGTGTTTAATTCACATTTGTTCTGTTTCAGATGAAAGAAAACGACAACACATCGCAACAATTAGGTTTAAGCAAATAACCCTAAGTATTATTTTCTCAATCATAATATGAAGTATCATCTTCGTCATAATATCATAGTTCGTCCACAAATAAAATTAATTTTTAGATATTTATAGAAAAATCAATGAAAGACATTGTTTGTTTCGGAATTTTTTATTTGTTATAAAATTAAATGTAAGCTTTACAAATCTGATAAAATCATACAACTTTAAGAATATCTCATTAAACACAAATAGTTGTATTATTAGAAATTATTTATTTATAACTTAATTTTGACACTATATTTTAATTTAAGATCAAATGATTTGATAGCATTGTGATTTACGTTCTTGCAACGTTAAGAATTTATTTACGAAATGTTGGTTCTTTTGATCATTAAATAATTTCAATTTACACGTCAATGTTATACTATGCCTTGTATACCCTCGATATACAACAGCAGAATAGATTTGGGACTCCATAAAAACACAACTTCATTTTTTTATTCTTTCCTCTTTTCACTATTCCATAACAATAGTGGATATTATTATTTTTACTTTATGACGTCAAAGCGATTTTTGTTATGGTATACAAGGTAACAAGTACATACATTTAATATTTTACTAAAAACTTTTGGAAACTATACACCTTGTGTTTATTGCAATAAATCAGTTATGTAATTTAATCTGTTGTCTTATTCAACCTACCTTTTCTCGATACAAAGCAACTCCTACTAGCTACACCAGCTAATTTATTCTGTGCCTTAACTCAAAAGATAGCCTTCGTTGATTTCCATCTACAAGGTGGAATTTTCCCCCCTTTATCGCCGAATGTGATAAAGGTCTATTGAATTAGTTCCCACCAAGGCGGAGAAGAGTGGAACGAGCGCGGAGAAGTGTTTTGAATAACCAATTAGATTTCATGACGGTCCGATACTTCTTCGTACTGCTCCGCTCCGCTCTGCCTGTATTGGTAGAAGAAACCTTGAAAATACATTTTCAAACTTAGTGCCAAATTCATCGCATAAAGTCAACTAACGCCACCTAGTCAGGCGTCAATGCATCAAGTTTCTTTTTTACGCTAAGTAAAAATAAACCTTGTGCCTAGAGGAATTAACGACATTCCTTTATGACCTTGTGTAACCGTAGTTCATTGATAGATGGCGTTCGCGTTCTAGTCTAGTGATAAATGAAACGATTTCTCGTAACTTTTTGCTCGTGCCGCTGCTCGTATCGTAAAGCGCGGAAACTTTGTTTGAGCGCTAAAAGTAACTTGGCTAAGGCAATCGTCGGCTTCGAAATTTTATCTGGAATTTTTACTAATAAATCAAAATCACGATGAGAATGAAAGACAGACTCTATCATTGTCTATCAAAATATAAATATTAAATACTGTGATGCAAGCTTCTCAACGCATTTAATATTATTACAATTTTATTTTATTTTAATTTAATTTAAATAGAACCTAAATTACTTTAACAATTTTATTTACATTTTTATCACCTTTGCATAAAGATTTGATTGAATAAAAAAATATAAGAATGAGTGAATGAATGACGATTACATCAGAAATAGACCGTAATTTTTTAACCCATTAATAGTCTTCTTAAATATTTTTGGTTTTTCGCAAACATTTGTTTTTCTTTTTCGTAATTTCAATTAATTCATTCAATTGAGTTATTATTAAGTTAATATTCGTTACTACATTTTTTAAAACTATTAAGTGGTCTAAAAAAACATTGAAGGACTAGTTTCTGACTTGTCTCTAATTCCAAGTAATGACATGATAACATGCGTGTCACTAAAAACTATTACCTATGTTACTAGAATGTCTTAGGAAAGTTGAAACAAATTGGCGGGAAAAAGTTTCAATGTAACGTGGACCCGGGCGCGGCGTAGGGCGGTGGTTACGCCCCCGCGAGCTGATGCCGCGGGCGGGCGGTGGGTGGGCGCTGCACTTCCTTATTCTTATGAATTTTTAAACGTGCAGGTGTCAATAATAAGCGCTCTAGTTAATGTACTCTGTTTATTAGTAGGGAAATAAATGAAATGGGTACTGTGACACAGACGTTAATTAATCTAATAAATTGATATACATAACTTTATGTATTGGTATTAGTTTAGTACATTCAAATAATTTAACAAATTCTTACGTATTCGCGACTAGTATCTGTTTACATTAGAGTCAGATTATATTGATTTTTTACATTTTATAAGATTTAGATGTCCTTACCTTCTGATTGTTAATTTGCTTTATATGAAGTTAATATTTTATAGTAGTATTTTTTTTAAATTATATTTTATGCAGTTTGCACATTTAGCCAGTGTCCGTTAAAATGAATGAAGTATTAATTAGATGCCATTAAATTTAATAAACGATGATTGATAAATGATAAATTGTATTCACCCTTTTCCTTGAGTTATGACAAATGTTTGGAACTTAACTGAGACTGATGCAAACTTCTTGAGAGAACTTAAAGTGATGTTACACTGTTTTAATTTATTTGCCTACACCCATTTACTTTCACGAACTCTATTATTACACGTTGTTTCTTTACAAGATCAAATCAGAAACGAGAAAAGCTTTGGAAAAACTAAAGTAGCTGACATAGCCGGACGGATTAGCAAGCTGAAGTTATAAAGGGCGCACAGTACTTATGCTGAGATGACGGCCCATGGGGCAGCAAAGTTCTGGAACCTGGCCACGTATAGAGGCTGCAAGCACACCGTAGCACGTCCACTCATAAGATGTACAGATTTACAGATAAATGTATAAAGGTAGCAAGATGGCGCAGGATGCAGGCACAGGATGCTACCAACCAGTCAATTTGTAAATTATTGAGTGAAGCCTGTGTTGCTAACCCTGCACAAATGCATTGAATTGACCACAAATGGGAAAAGATAGCAATTGTCAAAATATCGTAAGGTGAGCAATATCACAACAAATGAAAACTCATAACAACCACGACCACACGTGATTCTAATGACTGAGAATAAGTGTTTTTAGTTTTCTCTACCGTAGGCGTATCCACTTTTTTTTGTTTCCTTATTGCGTCGCAAACGCAACAATACGACTTGCTCAGTTTGAAGTTATGTAACAAGCTAAGGAACATGCTATGCTCTAAGTTTCTTCGAGTCGGTTCAACTTGGCACACGGGACTAACAAGTTAAAGTGGTAGAAAGCTAGTCATATTAATATTTATCGAAGAACCGATTGATTGTACCGTGTATAACCGTGTATTTTGAATGCTTGTATCTACCAAAGAACTGTCATCATAGGCTGATAAAATGATGATGCTTGTCAGATTTCGGGTAAGTATAGACTTCGTCCGTTCGTTCGTTTCAGTCAAATGACGTCCACTGCTAGACAAAGGCCTCTTCCAATGATTTCCATAACCCAATGTTAAAAGTATTAGTGCACGTGGCAAAAACTTTTTTTACGTGGGGAAATATTTTGCGCATACTCACTGACTGATGGGGGTTACCAGTTATATGGGACTTTCTCTGTCAGGGACCGGATCACAAAAGGCTGAAAGGTAGGGCCTACCCACTAAAACCCAACGGTGTCGACGGTGATTATCCTAACTTAAACATTAAGGTCATAGCAGACATATCAACTCGGAAAGGGATCAACACCGTTTCGCCTTTTGCGAGCTGTCATCACCTTTCACGCACTGTCAATCGCGAGGCAAGGAGTTTACGTTACGGTGCGGATAAGAGTGCGTTGAAGAATGGAGTTTCATACAAAGAATACTGACCGCCTCGAGTTGATACGGTTACGACGATCCCTTTCCGGGTTGATAAATGTGATACGGCCTTTATTCTGCAGCTCCGTCAGGCTAAAAGACCTCGCTGTCGAGCGAACCATTCCAGCTTCGAGGGTTACCCTCTGTTTTTTTAAACAGAGTTTTTTCTTCGTGGCTATGATATAACAGGACTCCCAGCCCGCCATAACTTGTTACGCTTTGCTCTATGCCGCTATTCATTCAGCTCTGCTGATCAGGGTAGTACCGAGACTACCAAGAGCGGCTAAATAAAACCCAAAAAAATCTGAACCCAATAAATTCTAATTAGAGACACTTTTCTAGACGCAAGTGTTTAGAAGTTATTACAACAACAGAACTGTTACTTTCCTGAAGTTTTGTTGACAACAATGGCATAAGCTTTGTGAGCTTATAGATTTTATCATGACATGAGCATTAATGAGCTTGTCATTCAAAATTTAATTTTCTTTGAAGAATGAAGTAATAACACTGTGTGCGAGGAAGGTGTGGATGATTAGCGATTATGCATTAATTAGTCTAAGATGATGGTTATGCGTCATGAGAGCTAGGGCGTGTCTGGCCGCGAAGGCGGGTGGTGCGGGCGGTCCGGTCCGCCCACTGTTACTTCCGCTTCCGTCTGCCTGTGAGCTCTACGACCACCCAACTATAGGGTCTAATGGACTTTATGTAAGGAACTTTCTCAAAAGCAAACCAATTGTTGTACAATTTCTATTGGTACCTACCGTATGTAAAGCTGATGAATTGTGAAGTCGTTAATGATTTTCTTACTATTAAGTTGACAAATTAAGATGACTGTGGGAATATAATTTACTAGTATGCCTTCATTGCAACAGACCTACTTATTGCGTATACCCTGAAAATACGCAGGTACTAAGTAACTATATCTCAAGACACCTCTGTTTTATCGAGGAAAAATTTAATTTTTATCATGATTGCCATCTCTTAGGGATAAAATTACTCGCAGAAGACTGGTTTTATGATCAAACTGAATTTTTTTGATAAAAAATAGTCATGCATGTTTGTGAATGTTAATTTATTTAAATGTCATAATTTCACTTGTTGTATGTCNTTATTCTGTACCTTAACTCAAAAGATAGCCTTCGTTGATTTCCATCTACAAGGTAATTTTATCGCCGAATGTGATAAAGGTCTATTGAATTAGTTCCCACCAAGGCGGAGCAGGGTGGAGCGAGGGCGGAGAAGTGTTTTGAATAACCAAATAGATTTCATGACGCACAGTAGTTTGAATTTAAAAATAGGTGGACANTGTATGTCATACTTCTATGTATGTTATGTTTTGTTTCTCGATTACAAGAAGTAAATTCAGGAGGTCATCATCACTAATAAATCAAGAGCATAATATTTTTATTGATTTGGCTCATTCTAGACTAAACGGTTAAAAGAATGAGAAGTGATGATTTCACCAACACTGCTCATCGACTAATTAAATAGTAATACGCAAACAATATCGCATCACTCGTCTACCGCGTGCCGTGCCACGCCACCGAGGTACACCCATAATAGACCAGTTTGGATTAATAACGTCGGATATTTCGATGTACTCGGATTCATAACTGAGTCGTAAGTTGGAACAGCTTAGGTTCAAAATCCAATATCTTAACGACGAATAGCATCATTTGTTTGGGAATGCATGCTTTTAGCAAGAGTTGTTAAAGAGTCTCAACTTTAAGTAACGACAATATGGTTCAATGTTGAATTACGATAAGGTCAGATAATTAAGTCGGGGACACACGCTCTCTCAGGGCGGCTGCTCATTCGTGCATAATGGACCCGGGGCGACGCGACTGACGCTTGACAAAACGTGGCTCGACTTTCACTCTCATTTCTGAACCAGTCTGCAACTACATATAAATAATGGGGTCGAGATATCGGTAGTCGTAAACAAATTGGGGAAAATGACAATTTTGCAATATTATGGTCCATAGTTTGGCATCTAGCCTTAACTACGAATGCTGAGAATATTTATTTATTTGTCCGTAAAACTCTTCATAATACACCTAGGAACCCTTTTAAACCTTATCATAGGTAGGGAATATTAAGAAAAACTAAATGAGTAGTACACCACTTCTTTCATAAATAAAGCAAGAATAATAAACGAGCTTCACAGGTAGGTAACTGAAGTTTTACTGTTATTATTAAAGGTAATAAGGAACGAACCTCAATGGAGATAAGAACTATTCAGTCTCCAGAGTATCGTAATACAATACAAAGAGTCTCTAAAATAATGCTACGAAACAGACTTTAATAGTTAGTGGACGCGTTTACAGCTCACATCTTGTTAGACGATGCAACGAGTGCATCAAGAGATACGACATGTGTGCATTTTTTGCCCGCCCAAGGAGGCCGCGGGCGCGAGGTTATACACCCATTATTACGTCCTTCCTACTTTCAATTATTATTATCGGGCGGCGGTGCCGAACCCGCAACGGGGAGGAGGAGAGAGGCGCAGCTGCTGCCTACCAATAATCAAGACCTGTCTCTGTTAGAACGAGACAGCGTTATCAATGAGCAACTTAAAAGCTCATTTTTCAACCACTTTATTGGAATCTATTATTATGCTAATAACAAGGATAGTGTACAATAAAATATCGTACCGTTATGTGTACTCCAAAGCTGATAACAAGTTAAAAACTTTGAAAAATACACTTAAAACCGAAAGAAATCCGACCGCGATAGGAGGCGGATCTCCGAACAATGCCGAAGGTATTCGTGTCGTTTCGTCAGTATGATCGCCGCAGTTTGGCGGCCGGTCGTGAGGATGGTGCGATCTGTACGTGAACAAAGAAAAATATTTGTTTGCAAGTGTATACTGGATAATGTCGTCTGAGTCTTCAAAAATACAAGTGGAATACATAAACGAGGACAAAAGTATCAAGGTAAATTGTGCTAAGTGGAAGGATATAGTGTTATTGTGTAATAGAGCGGACGCCAGCGGGCAGCGGTCTCGTGTCGGCGCAGGGGGAGGGCGGGGCGACTGCGGCCCCAGCCGTGTGGGGCCCGCCAGGCCACACGCAGGAGGTTGTGACCGTGTCGCAAGCAACTCCCTTGCCGAAATAGCATCAGCGTCCTCCTCCAGTTCTGCTACCCACCCATCCCGTAACCACGTGTGAATTACATGCTAACTATTATTGCAATGTTAACTTCACAATTTGTATTTCAAGAGTCCATGGCATCGTCGCCATTTTTATAAGTGCGAAAGCAATTGCGTTGTTTTATACGATAACCTTTTGCCAATACAAGTCAGTCTACAGGGTCGAAAAAATTAAAATTATTGTGTTTTACGAATTTACTACACTTACCTGCACCAAGAATGTTTATTAATAATCCATAGATGGTCTAGCTAGCAACTGCATAAAAATCACAGTCACGCGATTTGAGGTGGGTGGATCAAAGGGCGGCGGCGGCCTTGCGTGCGACGACTCCCGGCACTTGTTAGGAAAAGGCGTGTCGACTCCCAACTATGATGTTTATACTGAACAAATTGTTGTAACTTTAAAAGTTCTAGTGTCCCACTTCCGGTTTGAAAGTTTGGCACCAAGTTTGGAACTAGTAGCTTTGAGCAGTTAACAATTCCAATTTGGCATTAAAGGGTTAATTGTGAATGAATGATGAAATTGGTAAAAGTTGAATGAATTATTACCTCAACTTTGACAATTGACAATAATTTTTTGACAGTCAATCAAAAATTTGAAAGGAAAAGTGGCGCCCTAATTAATTTTAATTTTTTCAGATTTTATCAAATGAAAAGTGAATATTGCGTTGAGGTGCGTTATAATTTATACGTGGTGAACATACACAAACATTATTTTACAGTCACTAACTCAAGGTTCTCTTATGATCATGTCATGTAGACCCTTCGTGGCATTTTTTTTGTCTTGTTTTAATACTCCCGTCTATTCCCGTTTAATGATCTATCATAATCTTTGAGGCAGTTTATAAGCCTATAGTTTCTGTGCTTCTTTTAGTTCTTCTTGTAGCTCCCAAAAGTTGTATGGTGAGTAAAGTGGGTTAAACCAACTTGTAAACAGGAAAATTGTTTTCATCAAGTTTTATTGCCTACAGAATAAGGTTCAAAACGGTGTGCTTTGAAATATTTTGTTATTGCAATTTTTTACCAGCTATACTATGTGACACCCTTGATTAGTAGAAACCATTGAAAATACTTGTGATACATGAATTTTTGTATTGGTCAAGTAGTCTGTATTTATCAGTATTGTACCTTGATACTTATTGAGACATTTTACTAAAAGTCTATAATATTAGGTAACAAAATTCAAGAAAACTTGTAACAAATAGTATGTTGAGATGTTGACATTGTCATACCTAACTTAATAATGCCTTGTAAGTTGTGGGTTTTCCTGTGTTAAAAATGCATATATTCATAAATTAGATCAGAAATATAACTACAACACAAGTAAATAACATAGTTAGATTTGTTAGTAAATAATGTAATTAAATTAAATTAGTTAGATTTGTTAGTAAATAAAATTACTTGTTACTACATCAATTTCAAAAGCAGTTATTTGAATCACAAGGAAATTGTAAGCATACTTACTTCTTTAATCAACGAGCACACATTCTTTCACTGACACCACCGATCAACGGATATCTATCCTTTTTACATTCCGTCAAAACGAAAATAATATTTTATTATAACTAATTAATATGACTTTGAAGTCTGACCGAATAATTAATGATTTAATAGCTATTAAAAACGAATCTTAGAACATTACATGAAAATATGTACATAAATCTTTCACACTTTCAATGCTCGCATTAGTCAACATGAAATAATTTAACTGGTGTCATCACTGTGCTATTGGATTTTAATGTTACACTGGCCTTAATTTGTCTAGTTTAGCATTAATTTATCTATCTACCTAACCTTGGAGTCAGATTAAATTTTCTGTTATCGGTGTCCAGGACAGAGAATGATTCTTTGATATGCTTCAAAGAACGTTCAGGTTATATTATTATTGGTTTTTGGGCCTTTATTTGCGCCAACTCGACCAGGTTTGATCTATTGTGGCAGCCCTTGTCTTTAAAGTTCACTGCTTAGTCCCGTTGAGTCTATAAATTTCCANAACAATTCCAATTTGGCATTAAAGGGTTAATAGCGAATGAATGATGAAATTGGTAAAAATTGAATGAATTATTACCTCAACTTTGACAATTGACAATAATTTTTTGACAGTCAATCAAAAATTTGAAAGGAAAAGTGGCGCCCTAATTAATGTTAATTTTTTCAGATTTTATCAAATGAAAAGTGAATATTGCGATGAGGTGCGTTATAATTTATACATGGTGAACATACACAAACATTATTTTACAGTCACTAACTCAAGGTTCTCTTATGATCACGTCATGTAGACCCTTCGTGGCATTTTTTTTGTCTTGTTTTAATACTCCCGTCTATTCCCGTTTAATGATCGATCTATCATAATCTTTGAGGCTGTTTTTATGCCTATAGTTTCTGTGCTCCTTTTAGTTTTAAAGCTCACAAAAGTTGTATGGTGAGTAAAGTGGGTTAAACCAACTTGTAAACAGGAAAATTGTTTTCATCAAGTTTTATTTGCCTACAAAATAAGGTTCAAAACGGCGTGCTTTCAAATATTTTGTTATTGCAATTTTTTACCAGCTGACTGTGACGCCCTTAGTAGAAACCATTGAAAATACTTGTGATACGTGAATTTTTGTATTGGTCAAGTAATCTGTGTTTTTTATCAGTTTTGTCCCTTGATACGCTTTATTAATCTAAGCTTGAACCTTAATGAGAATTTTACTAAAAGCCGATCATATTAGTAACAAAATTCAAGAAAACTTGTAACAAATAGTATGTTGACGTTGTCATAACTTATTCATGCCTTGTAAGTTGTTGGATTTCCTGTGTTAAAAATGCATATTCATAAATTAGACCAGAGGTGGAATTGTCTAACGCAATCGTAATCATTAATTTGGCAGTTCATAACGTATGATTATTTTGTCAAATGCTTTGTTTAACTGACTTTATCATATGTTATGAACTGTCAAATGATTACGATTGCTTTACACAATTCCACCTCAGAAATATAAGTACAACACAAGTAAATTAGTTAGATTTGTTAGTAAATGTAATTTTAAAAATTACTTGTTACTAGTTAGGTACATCAATTTCAAAAGCAGTTATTTGAATCACAAGGAAATTGTAAGCATTCTTACTTCTTTAATCAACGAGCACACATTCTTTCACTGACACCACCGATCAATGGATACCTATCCTTTTTACATTCCGTCAAAACGAAAATAATATTTTATTATAACTAATTAATATGATATCTCTCTTTGAAGTCTGACCGAATAATTAATAATTTAATAGCTATTAAAAACGAATCTTAGAACATTACATGAAAATGCATAAATCTTTTACACTTTCAATGCTCACATTAGTCAACATGAAATAATTTAACTGGTGTCACTGTGCTATTGGATTTTAATGTTACACTGGCCTTAGTTTGTCTATTTTAGCATTAATTTATCTATCTACCTAACCTTGGAGTCAGATTAAATTTGCTGTTATCGGTGTCCAGGACAGAGAATGATTCTTTGATATGCTTCAAAGAACGTTCAGGTTAAGGAAATGGCCAACTTTTCAGCTCGCTCTGCCTCTGACACATTTTGGTCAAATTATTGTGTTATTGCTGTGGTATATTCTTCTGAGATTCTTATCAATGTTATTTAAGGTATATTTTATTGCTATTTCAGCTATGCACAATGCTCTACTGGGCTTATGAGAACTTTGTATTAAATTACAAAAAAAATGAAACTATACTTTTCAAATAAAATATAAACAACATTCAATCTACATACAATCCTATAACTTTAAGCTGCTCAATTTAAATTCTTTAAAACCTTTAATGGCCCTCTTCCAAACGTCTGAAACCTACATCAACTCCAGCGGGTTAGACGGAGCTAAATTTTTTTTATTCACAACAAAGAGGTTTTTGGCCTACATCTTACCTAAGTAAAATGATGATCAAGCCGTAATCGAGCTTAGTTGAATCAGGTGGGTTTAACCACTAAACTAACCAGTTGGTTATAATGTGTAGTGTAGTAGTGCTCCTGGCAGCCACATGAAACACACACACACACCACAGCTCTCTGAAAGAAACTTGTACCTCTTGTAGCCTACTGCTATTGTCTAAAACCTGCATTAATTCTAGAAAGCATGATAATTTTATTCTTTATTCTGTAAACAACTGTTCTAGCTCTACGAGTCCCAGTATGTCATTTTTTTTTCTTTTATATCCGTGGTCTTAGCAATTTGTAGGGTACTTCAATAAATCACTCCTGTGTCCGTTTGCACTGTTCTTTGTGCAGTCCAGTGACTCAGTTGCCCTCAGTGGTTTACAAAGTGTAACGTGTTGGTTCCAGCAGGAGGGCAGCGGCTAAAAGATAAATTCAAGCGTGCTTCATGGCACGAAGTTTCTTACTTTTTATTTTGTAAGCGGTTGTCAGTTTTATTTATGGAGTTCTAATGCTAGTATGACATCAAAGTGTATCGTGTCTATTCCAGCAGAAGGGCAGCGACACCCAGTCGCCCCTAGCGCTCCTGGCAGCCATCTGTAGCCGTATGAAAGAAAAACTTTTAGGCCATTCAATCCAAAATCTGCTATCAATTCAAGCGTGCTTCATGGCAAAAAGATTCTTTTTTTTTTGTAAGCGGCCATCCCAGTTTTGTCTATGGAGTTCTAATGCTAGTATGACATCTAAGTGTAAGTTGTTTGTTCCAGCAGGAGGGCAGCGGCACCCAGTCGCCCCTAGCGCTGCTGGCCGCCACGTGCAGCCGCCTGGGCGCCGCCAGCATGGGGCCCGAGCAGCAGGCGCAGGACCAGGACAAACAGCACTACAGTTAGTATTCATATATCATAATATCAGCTGAGAGTCTAATTAAAAGAGTTGGAGGCCTGTGCTGCTAAAAGGCACACTGAATTAAGTGATGTTCTACCTAAAAATCTGACTTGCCCTCCCACCTAGGCCAGAAGCTTGATATGACTTGCCCCCCCACCTAGGCCAGAAGCTTTATATGACTTGCCCCCCTATCTAGGCCAGAAGCTTGATATGACTTGCCTCCCTACTAGGCTGAAAGCTTGGTACTCTCATGGTTCAGTACCTACCATGTTAAGGCTATGCTGATGAGATATTGGCAACTGTGGAAACAAATATTGCTTTATGGGTGAAGAGGAAGGAGACTGTATGGTGGTATAATACTGATAATGAGGATTTTTTAAAATCCGCAACGGAGAAGCTTTTGGCCTGTATCTCACCTGATTAAAATTATTATATGTTGTCTTTGGACTTTTTGTGAATATTAGATGGCTTTATACGTGACTTTCAAAGCACATAATCAGCTTTCAGCAGAAATTGAGTGGAGACACCCACATAATATGTAAAATGTATAAACAATTATTATAAATTATATTTCATACTTCCAGGTCCACAGCATCAACAACAGACCCAACAACAACAACAGGCACAACAACAACAGCAACAACAGGCTCAACAGCAGGCTCAGCAACAGCAACAAGCTCAGCAACAGGCCCAGCAACAGGCCCAGCAACAACAGGCGCAACAACAGGCGCAACAACAGGCCCAGCAACAGGCACAGTTGATACAGCAGCAAGTCCAAGGAGATGCGGCGACGATAGCGGCGATACAACAACAATATTTGCAACAACAACAGCAACAGCCGCAAGTAAGGGTCATCAGCTCGGCTGTCGTGCAGCAGTTGAGGGCCCAAGGTCTATCGGTGAGTAGTCATTTGGTATTTTTTAAATCGGGAATTTCCTTCGGTGGTGCGATTGGACATTAGAGGATATAATCATATAAGGCAGATGTGTATTCTATTCTTCATCATAATGGCATTACTATTTCACGAAGTAATGCATAAAACTTCGTGAAGTAGCAATGCCTGGCTTTCTTTTATCGAAACTTCTAACAATTTTTATATTGACTAGGGCAGTGTTTTTCAACCTTTTTATAGTCAGACACAATACACTATAGAATGGAAAGATTCAGGACCCTTTATAACATTTCAAACGTCTATAAAGTTTTTTTTGAGACTAAATGTTTTTGTACCATGAGCCCCATGTTAAGGGGGTCAGCACTTCCCCTGAGGGCTTCACAGATTGAAAATCATTATTCTAGGCCTTAGAATCTAGGGCAACAAGGCATTACTATTTAGGAATGCACTATGCAGTATACTCGTACATAAGATACATTATAGATTTCGAAGCGATTCCTAGTAGTGGAGCAAAAAAATTTAATTATCATTTTTATGATACCTATAGAACTTATATTTTTTACAGGGCAACGAATTATCAGCAGCCATTGTGAACGCAGCCAACTCAGTACCAAATGGCATTCAGGTTCAACAACCTCAGGTGAGTGGGAACGGTTATGCAAAATATTTCGTTCATCACAATGAGTGATTATTACGAAGCTTTGTTTGTAATAAATGATAACTATAAGTACTACAAAAGACATTCAGTGTGGGCTGACCTTGTAAATATTGAAACTGCAAATGTGCAAGAAAAGTTAATTTGAAATACATATTATTATGACTGTATCAATAATAAATATTGCAGTGCCTGTCAAAAGCTGTACTCTGCTGACTGTTTCACATTGCTAGAGGGCTTGCCTTACTATGCCTTCTTTCTTCTACATTCTACTACTCAGACCTGGGTTCGAAATCACTTTGTGTTCCCATTTTGGAACATTATTTTCCAAGAGAGATGATTGTACCGGGACACGTTCAGCCGTTTGGTTGATGAGCCAAGATTCAAACGCTTATGACGGCTCTAAGCTTGACCATGCTTGTGACAACCCCCACATTTAGAAATAAATCAGTGTTTACAAAATTACAAACTTATCTTGGTAGTATTAGGACCCATTTTAGTATGAAATTCCTTGTTATTTCAGGTCATATCGATGCAGCAATTGCAGTCGATACTAGGAGGCGGTGTGGTGTCGAGCGATGGCACCACATATCAAAACTCGCCGCAGCAGCTGTTACAGATACACCCGCAACTGTTACAGGTATGTGCCAACAATCCTATGCAGGGTTCGAGGATATATATCAAAATATATATCCGATATATATCAAGCCGGTTTTGATGATTTACATATATCAACTTTTAAAATTTGTTACTGTATTTGTACTTTTTGACATAAGATTTTTATTTTTTTAGTTGATTTTGCCGTATTTAAAAGAATATTTTATGTTTTTGCTTTATTTGTCTGATTTTAAGGTTTAAAAACATTAAAAACATGTTTATGTAACACATATGCAATAGTATTCACTATTCATGAATAAAACAATAATACTATGGCTTTCATACAAAATTGATATATATCAAAGTTGATATATATCGGATATATATCATAAATATCCGATATTTTGATATTTATAATAAATATCGGATATTTTCGAACCCTGATCCTATGCTTCCCAAACCAGTCTAGCTAGGGTAGGGATTACTCCATTTGCGTCTGGTAAAATGGAGAGTCGTGCACCTGCAGTAGAGAGTAAATTATAATAATAATAATAANAGAATCTGCACAGAGTTTCCTCGGTCATGTTCACGTTCAAGTTAAGGAAATGGCCAACTTTTCAGCTCGCTCTGCCTCTGACACATTTTGGTCAAATTATTGTGCTATTGCTGTGGTATATTCTTCTGAGATTCTTATCAATGTTATTTAAGGTATATTTTATTGCTATTTCAGCTATGCACAATGCTCTACTGGGCTTATTAGAACTTTGTATTAAATTTTAAAAAAAATGATACTATACTTCTATATATATAAAAGAAAGTCGTGTTAGTTACTTCGCTTATAACTCAAGAACGGCTGAACCGATTTAGCTGAAAATTGTCTGGGAGGTAGTTTAGAGCCAGGAGAAGGACAAAGGATACTTTTTATCCCGTTCGAAATTAAAAAAAAGTCTGCTTATTTATTGCCATTAAGGCGGAACAAAGTTCGCCGGGTCAGCTAGTTTCAAATAAAATATAAACAACATTCAATCTATACAATCCTATAACTTTAAGTTGCTCAATTTAAATTCTTTAAAACCTTTTATGGCCCTCATCCAAACGTCTGAAACCTACATCAACTCCAGCCGGTTAGACGGAGCAAAGATTTTTTTATCCACAACAAAGAGGTTCATGGCCTACACCTTACCTAAGTAAAATGATGATCAAGCCGTAATCGAGCTTAGTTGAATCAGGTGGTTTTACCACTAAACTACCCAGTTGGTTATAATGTGTAGTAGTGCTCCTGGCAGCCCCATGCAGCTCTCTGAAAGAAACTTGTACCTCTTGTAGCCTACTGCTATTGTCTAAAACCTACATTAATTCCAGAAAGCATGATAATGTTTTTATTCTTTATTCTGTAAACAACTGTTCTAGCTCTACGAGTCCCAGTATGTAATTTTTTTTTCTTTTATATCCGTGGTCTTAGCGACAATCTGTAGGGAACTTCAATAAATCACTCCTGTGTCCGTTTGCACTGTTTTCTGTCGTGTGCAGGGTGGAGTCCAGTGACTCAGTTGCCCTCAGTGGTTAACAAAGTGTATCTTGTCTATTCCAGCAGGAGGGCAGCGGCACCCAGTTGTCCCTAGCTCTCCTGGCTGCCACCTGCAGCTGTATGAAAAAAAAACCTTTAGGCCATTCAACCCAATTTTTTTAAGCCTCTTGTAGCCAGCTTGTGTTCTGCTATCAATTCCAGCTAACATGATAGCAGTGTTTTTTATTCTAAGCTGCCATCCCAGTTTTATGCGGCACCCAGTCGCCTCTAGCTTTCCTGACAGTCATGTGCAGCCAAAAAAAAAACTAGGCCACAATATTCAAATTTTTGATACCTCTTACTCCTCTACTGCTAAGTCTACTAACCTCTAAAACCTGCGTCAACTCCAGCAAGCGTGATACAGTGTTGTTTATTCTTGATTTTTAAGCGGTTGTTCTCCAGCTCCATCTATAGTCTCAATATAAATAAATAAATATCCTTGGACATTTTACACTATGCTTCTAGTCCTAAACTAAGCAAAGCTTGTACTATGGGCACTAGACAACGGATATAAACATACTTAAATACTTTTTTTTGTAAATACATACATACATATACCTACATAGTAACACCCAGGCCCGTCACAGAAATTAAAATTCATCATTTCAATTTCTGCCTGGCCGGGAATCGAACCCGGGACCTCTCGGCATAGTAGTCCGTTCTGAACCACTACACCAAACGGCCGACTAACAAATGTATTACATACATATACAGTATGACATTAAAGTGTATCTTGTCTATTCCAGCAGGAGGGCAGCGGCACCCAGTCGCCCCTAGCGCTGCTGGCCGCCACGTGCAGCCGCCTGGGCGCCGCCAGCATGGGGCCCGAGCAGCAGGCGCAGGACCAGGACAAACAGCACTACAGTTAGTATAGTTATATCATTATAACTGCAGTCTTTTGTGTGGTAGTTCTATCCTGAGTACCATGTCTATCGTTCGTTCGTTTCAGCCAAATGACGTCCACTGCTGGACAAAGACCTCCCCCAAGGATTTCCACAAAGACCGGTCCTGCGCCGCTCGCGACCTTCACCAGATCGTCGGTCCACCTAGTGGGAGGCCTGCCTACGCTACGTCTTCCGGCTCGTGGTTGCCACTCAACTTTCCTGCCTCAGCGGCCATCAGCTCTACGAGCTATGTACCCTGCCCACTGCCACTTGATTTTAGCGATTCTGCGGGCTATGTCAGTCACTCTGGTTCTACGGATCTCCTCGTTTCTGATTCGATCACGCAGGGAAACTCCGAGCATAGCACGCTCCATCGCCCTTTGGGTGACCTTGAGCCTTCTTATGAGGCCCATAGTAAGCGACCTCGTCTCAGATCCGTATACCATCACTGGCAACACACACTGGTGAAAGACTTTTGACTTGACTCGCTCCTAGCGCTGCTGGCAGCCACGTGCAGCCGCCTGGGCGCCGCCAGCATGGGGCCCGAGCAGCAGGCGCAGGACCAGGACAAACAGCACTACAGTTAGTATAGTTATATCATTATAACTGCAGTCTTTTGTGTGGTAGTTATATCCTGAGTACCATGTTTTTGCTATCGTTCGTTTCAGCCAAATGACGTCCACTGCTGGACAAAGGGTATCGCCGCCTGCCATTTAAAATCGTTCGTTGTTCGTCGTTTCAGCCAAATGACGTGGACGTCAGCAGTGGACTGCTGGACAAAGGCCTCCCCCAAGGATTTCCACAAAGACCGGTCTTGCGCCGCTCGCATCCAGGCGCCTCCCGCGACCTTCACCAGATCGTCGGTCCACCTAGTGGGAGGCCTGCCTACGCTACGTCTTCCGGCTCGTGGTTGCCACTCAACTTTCCTGCCTCAGCGGCCGTCAGCTCTTCGAGCTATGTGCCCCGCCCACTGCCACTTGATTTTAGCGATTCTGCGGGCTATGTCAGTCACTCTGGTTCTACGGATCTCCTCGTTTCTGATTCGATCACGCAGGGAAACTCCGAGCATAGCACGCTCCATCGCCCTTTGGGTGACCTTGAGCCTTCTTATGAGGCCCATAGTAAGCGACCTCGTCTCAGATCCGTATACCATCACTGGCAACACACACTGGTGAAAGACTTTTGACTTGACTCGCCCCTAGCGCTGCTGGCCGCCACGTGCAGCCGCCTGGGCGCCGCCAGCATGGGGCCCGAGCAGCAGGCGCAGGACCAGGACAAACAGCACTACAGTTAGTATAGTTATATCATTATAACTGCCAGTCTTTTGTGCGGTAGTTATATCCTGAGTACCACGTTTTTGCTATCGTTCTTTCGTTCGATTCAGCCAAATGACGTCCACTGCTGGACAAAGGCCTCTCCCAAGGATTTCCACAAAGAACGGTCCGGCGCTGTCTGCATCCAGGTTCTTACCGGGACCTTTACCAGACAGTCAGTTTTTGCTATGCTCATGATATTAGCAAATGTGTGATAGTTATATCCTCCAGTCAGTAGCGGAGGGGCAACTGCCTCTGAACAGCTGGAAATAAATCAAACTATAATATGACCTAAAAATCATTCTTGCCCCCCTAGGCTAGTAGATGGATATCTGAGTACGCCCATGGTTCAGTACCTACCTACCACGTTAAGGCTAAACGGAGAAGCTTTTGGCCTGCATCTCACCTGATTAAAATTATTATTTGTAGTCTTTGGAATTTTTGTGAATATTAGATGGCTTTAAACGTGATTCCCAAAGCACAATCAGCTTTCAGCAGAAATTGAATGGAGACATCCAAGCGTATGATGTACGCCTGGCGCGTTAGCATCATTTGGGTGACTTATTTGACAATGTTAAATGTAATAAACAATTTTTATAATGACGTACTTTTATGGGCCATGCCTGAATTAAATACCTTTTATTTTATTTATTTATTTATATTCCATACTTCCAGGTCCACAGCATCAACAACAGGCTCAACAACAACAGCAACAGGCACAACAACAACAGCAACAACAGGCTCAACAGCAGGCTCAGCAACAGCAACAAGCTCAGCAACAGGCCCAGCAACAGGCCCAGCAACAGGCCCAGCAACAACAGGCGCAACAACAGGCGCAACAACAAGCCCAACAACAGGCACAGTTGATACAGCAGCAGGTGCAAGGAGATGCGGCGACGATAGCGGCGATTCAACAACAATATTTGCAACAACAACAGCAACAGCCGCAAGTAAGGGTCATCAGTTCGGCTGTCGTGCAGCAGTTGAGGGCCCAAGGTCTATCGGTGAGTAGTCATTTGGTATTTTTATAATCGGGAATTTCCTTCGTTGGTGGGATTGATATAATCATACAAGGCAGATCAATCTATTCTATTCTAAATTATTATGGCAATGCCATTTCACGAAGTAATGCGTAAAACTTCGTGAAGTAACTTTCTTTTCTTCTAACATTTACATTGTCTAGGGCAGTGTTTTTCAACATTTTTATAGTCGGACACAATACACCAGGGATGGCGAACCTTTATGGGGCAACGTGCCACTTTTCTAAAAAAAAAAGGCATCGTACAAGTGGCGCCACTGCACTGGCGAGTGACAGCATTACAGCACCTTACTCTACAGTGGCGCCAACTGATGAGGGCAAATATAGCCCTCATTCAAAACATAATTTACTATTTTATTTCATAGTGAATTTTGAATTTTGGAGTGATTGGTGGCGTGCCCTAAATATTGTAGCGCGTGCCATCACGTGCCATTGGTTCGCCATCCCTGCAATACACTATAGAATGGAAAGATTCAGGACCCTTTATAACATTTCAAACGTCTATAAAGTTTTTTTGAGACTAAATGTTTTTGTACCATGACCCCCATGTTAAGGGGGTCAGCACTTCCCCTGAGGGGTTCACAGATTAACAACAAGGCATCAATTATTTAGGAATGCACTATGCATGCAGTATACTCGTACATAAGATACATTATAGATTTCGAAGCGATTCCTAGTAGTGGAGCAAAAAAATTTCATTATCAGTTTGTGATAGGTACAATAAAGAACTTATATTTTTTACAGGGCAACGAATTATCAGCAGCCATTGTGAACGCAGCCAACTCAGTACCAAATGGCATTCAGGTTCAACAACCTCAGGTGAGTGGGAACGGTTATGCAAAATATTTCGTTCATCACAATGAGTGATTATTACGAAGCTTTGTTTGTAATAAATGATAACTATAAGTACTACAAAAGACATTCAGTGTGGGCTGACCTTGTAAATATTGAAACTGCAAATGTGCAAGGAAAGTTAATTTGAAATACATATTATTATGACTGTATCAATAATAAATATTGCAGAGCCCGTCAAAAGTTGTACTCTGCTGACTGTTTCACATTGCTAGAGGTCTTTCCCTACTATGCCTTCTTTCTTCTACATTCTACTAGTCAGACCTTCTGGGTGACCACTTTGTGTTCCTATTTTGGAACATTATTTTCCAAGAAGAGATGATTGTACCGGGAGTACCGGGACACGTTCAGCCGTTTGGTTGATGAGCCAAGATTCAAACGCCTATGACGGCTCATGCAACTTGAACAAGCTTGTGACAACTCCCACATTTAGAAATAAATCAGTGTTTCGTTCGTTTCAGCCATATGACGTCCACTGCTGGAAAAAGGCCTCCTCCAAGGTTTTCCACAATGCACGGTCCTGCACTGCCACTTGATTTTAGCAATTCTGCGAGCTATGTCGGTCACTTTGGTTTTCCTGCAGATCTCCTCATTTCTGATTCGATCACGCAGGGAAACTCCAAGCAAATCATCATTATTTACAAGTTTCAAGAAATCAGTGTTTACAAAATTACAAACTTATTTTGGTAGTAGTTGGACCCACTTTAGTATGAAATTCCTTGTTATTTCAGGTCATATCGATGCAGCAATTGCAGTCGATATTAGGAGGCGGCGTGGTGTCGAGCGATGGCACCACATACCAGAACTCGCCGCAGCAGCTGCTACAGATACACCCGCAACTGTTACAGGTGTGTGCCAACAATCCTAGGCCTCCCTATTCCTGGCCAAAGAGGGGAGTGTAGGCCAAATCCTCTATTTGCCTCTGGTAAAATAGAGAGAGTCTTGCTCCTGCAGTGGAGACAAAATTATGACTTGACGATACAGTCCTTTTCAACCACTTCCACTGTTGGACAGTGACCTAAGGATTTTCACGACCACAGGTCCTGCACTACTCACATCCAGGATTTTCAATAGATATTCGGTTCATCGATTGGAACGACCTACACTACGTGGGTGGTGCGTGGTCATTATTCCAGTACTGTTGTATACTTTTATGCATCAACTTGGAACATTGATATGATAATATGCATCCAGGTTCTTACCGGGACCTTTACCAGACAGTCAGTTTTTGCTATGCTCATGATATTAGCAAATGTGTGATAGTTATATCATCCAGCAGTAGCGTAACTATACTGTAACTATACTATCCGAGGCCCGTGGCATTGAGGGGGGGCCTGGCCCGTGAAATGCCAGGGGGGAGGGGTTTGGTTTCATAGCACGTATGAATGAGTACCTAATATCACGAATCGGTAACCCAAACAACTTAATGTGTGCATTTTACTTGAGCCCCCTGGGGCCGTGGGCCCGTGGCATTTTGCCAGCCCTGCCCCCCTGTAGTTCCGCCACTATCATCCAGTAAGCTAAACTTTATATTGAACCTCAAAACTTCAATTCCCAACTTCCCATTCTAATCTACCGATGCTTTGTTCCAGCAACAAGCGGGAGGCATCTACGGCAGTTGCCTAGTGGGTGGCGTAGGCGGCGTAGGCGGCGTGGGAGGCGTGGCGCCCATGCAGGCTGTCACTGTAGACGGACAGGAGGCTCTGTTCATCCCTGCTCAGCATGCTCAGGTCAGTAGATAAGTAGCTTAAATATAAAGACAACCCTGTATAGTCAAGAATAGGCGGCATCTACGGCTGTACGTGGCGCCCATGCAGGCCGTCACCGTGGACGGACAGGAGGCTTTGTTCATCCCTGCTCAGCATGCTCAGGTCAGTAGATAAGTAGCTTAAATATAAAGACACCCTGTATAGTCAAGCATAGGCGGGCGTCTTGGGAGGCGTGGCGCCCATGCAGGCTGTCACTGTAGACGGACAGGAGGCTTTGTTCATCCCTGCCCAGCATGCACAGGTCAGTAGGAAGACGTTAAGAAGCTTGAATATAAAGATTAAAGACACCCTGTATAGTCAAGCATAGGTGGATCTGAGGCCGCTGTTTAAGAAAAGGTTAGATCCTTTACAACGTTGATATGTCCGAAAATACAAAAAAATACGAAGGTTGTGATGTCATTTTTCTTGGAATACTGGGACTGGTCTTGACTGTGAATGATTCACAAAATCTGTATGAATACTGTTTTATATAAATAATAAATAAATAAATAAATCTTTGGACAATTTCACACAGCGCCAGCTAGCTTCTTTAACTTCTGACCACAAAACACGATCTTTGCTTTCAGCCCGTTCCAGCTATTATCTTCAGAACATAAGTCCATTTAGCAGTGTTTCGTACCGAAATANAATAATAATAAATAAATCTTTGGACAATTTCACACAGCGCCAGCTAGCCCCAAAGTAAGCAACTTAATGCTTGTGTTATGGGTGCTAGCTTAACGGATATACTACTTATATACTTTTTTTTTAAATACATACATAAATTATACATAGTAACACCCAGACCCGTCACAGAAATTAAAATTCATCATTTCAATTTCTGCCCGGCCGGGAATCGAACCCGGGACCTCTCGGCATAGTAGACCGCTCTGAACCACTACACCAAACGGCCGACGAATTATGACTTGATGATTCATTCCTTTTCAACCAAAACACTACCACTGTTGTGATAAGGCCTTTACCGAGAATTTATGTAACCAACTGGACCTGCACTGCTCACATCCAGGACCTTTATTAAATTTTCGGTTCATCGAGTTGACGGTTTTCCTACACTACGTCGTTTGTGGACGCCATTCCGGAACTTTTCTACACTTTTATGTATTCACATTTACTTTGATATTGGTCGTCCCGTGAGCTAAATTACATACTACACAAATCATGTACAGAATAAGATTTTTCTTCTTTGCCTGGCCCTCTCTCATTTTTTTGTCCCCCGTATCTGTGTCTCCAGGCGACTCGGTCGTGTGTCGTCTCTTCGTTGAATTAGGCCTGTTTGAGGTTGTTATTTAATACAGAATAAGACTAAAGGCCCCTATTATGAGACGACACTCCTTCCCAACTTCCCATTCTAATCTACCGATGCTGTCCTGGGTCGTCTGTTCTCGTTGACTTAAGCCTCTTTGATGTTCTTATTTAATACAGAATAAGACAAAACACCCCTATTATGAAACGAAACCCATTCTAAACTACCGATGTTTTGTTCCAGCAACAAGCGGGAGGCATCTACGGCAGTTGCTTGGTGGGTGGCGTAGGCGGCGTGGGAGGCGTAGGAGGCGTGGCGCCCATGCAGGCCGTCACTGTAGACGGACAGGAGGCTTTGTTCATCCCTGCACAGCATGCACAGGTTAGCATGAATATACTGCAGCCCTGTATTTTCAGGCATAGGCGGTTGCCTGGTGGGCGGCGTGGGAGGCGTGGCGCCCATGCAGGCTGTCACTGTAGATGGACAGGAGGCTCTGTTTATCCCTGCCCAGCATGCTCAGGTCAGTAGGAAGACGTTAGAAGCTTAAATATACTGTAACTGTTTAGTGAAGCATAGGGTACCCTGTATAGTCAAGTATAGGACACACTATATAGCCAAGCATAAGGCACCCGTGTAGCCAAGTATAGGTCACCCTGGTATAGCCAAGCGTAGGCGGCTGCCTGGTGGGTGGCGTGGGAGGCGTGGCGCCCATGCAAGCCGTCATTGTAGACGGGCAGGAGGCTCTGTTCATCCCTGCCCAGCATGCTCAGGTCAGTGTAAAGATAATAAGGAGCTTGAATAAATTGTCATCCTTTACAGTCAAGCATAGGCGGCTACCTGGTGAGCAGCAGGTCAGTACAAAGATAAGAAGCTTGAATAAACTGTATAGTCAAGCATAGGCGGCATCAACATGCACATTACACAGGTCTGTATGATGTTATGAAGCTGGAACTTTAACACCCAGTATAATAAATCATAGACGGCTGCCTGGTGGACGGCCAGGAGGCCCTGTTCATCCCTGCTCAGAATGCAGAGGTCAGTATGAAGAAAAGCTTAGATCATCCTGTGTAGTCCAGGATCTAAAGTAAGAAATGCTTATTTCTGGACTGCATAGCTCATAGTGAAATACTAGTCATGAGCAACAGCGATGCATTGAAATTATGAAGGTAGAGATTTCAAAATCTGCTCTTAAGGCAGTTCTAATCAAGATTTACTTCAAAAGTTATAACTGTTGGCCACAAAGCACGATTTTTGCCACCCCATTCCAGCTATTATTTTGAAGTCATCAGTCCATGGAGCAGGCGTATCTAATTCTAAATCTATGAACGTCTTCTGTGAGGTTATAAAATAACAAAAATATTATGTATTGCTTACAGAATTTCTCCAGCATGGGGCAAGTGAGCCTAGTCAACGGACAACTGGTGCGGGCGCTGCCGGCCGGCTTCCTGCAGAACGTCATGCATCTACCCGCTGGTAAGTACACATAAAACACACAAGGTCACACACAAATACATTAGGTCTTGCGAATCGCACTTTTGAGATCAGCGACCAAAGGTTGAGACTAAAGTAAAGACAAACAGTACGGCTAGCACGAAAAACTTTCGAGTTCAAATCGTTTGCGTATTCGAATCGCCATCAAAAGATTTTGTACGAAAACTACAACAGCGCCCGTGTGAACGTGTCGTAAAGTGAACTTAGTATGAGAAATGGTTGCACGAAACTTATTTTGAGAATCAAAACTGTCACGTTATTGTTTAATTCGAAGATTGAGTATCGAATTTTGTCGAATACGCAAACGATTCGAAGGCAAAAGTTGTTCATGCTAAAGGTACAGACTTCAAACATTATACAGATTCGAGTTTGAGCAAACAGACTTCAAACACTATAGAGATTGGAGTTTGAGTCATATACAAGTTTTGAAACAATAAAGCTATGAATTATGTAGTTTATCAGAGTACACTGAAGTCAATACAAGATAATGTTACAGGACTCACGTGTGACACTCAAAATTAAACTGACACTGAATACGATTTATATTATAGAAATAGTTAAAATCTGATCTCAAATGTGTTATCCGTGTCTTAACGACACGACGACGTTAAGTCTGGTTTAAAAACGACTTTCTTAGTTTTTCTGGAACACATTGCACATATCTAAATACTTATTTTTAGTACACACACTCGACTTAAACTAGCTTTTGGGATTGCTTTGGTGTTAATTTCCGATCATCAGCTTCGCTTTATGGGCCCACATCTAGACTCAAACATATCATTTTCTTAGAGCATGTATGTTTAATGTTTAGTCATACACTTCCTCCTTTCACTTGATATTTGTTTCTTCTCTCGAGTGAAAGTGGTGCAGCGCGGCGTGCATTTCGTTTATGAACCGCAATTATATTTTATAGCAGTCGAAAAGTATTTGCTTCATCATCTTTCAAATAAACAGTTATCTCACAAATTGACTGAGTAACTTAAAGTTTTGTTTACTTCGTGAACGATTTTAACATTAAAACGATGTAAAGAAACTTAAGGCTCATATTGTGCAATGAAGCTCAAATCTTTATTTAACCTTCTGATTGGTTGAATTTCAATATTTAGATCAGTGTTTTTCAACCTTTTTCATGACACGACCCGGTAGTATGAAAAAATGTTTGGCGACCCCCCGACCGTTCGCTTTTTTTTCATGCATTTTATAATGTTGCAAAGATGTTTGTAGAGACCGAATACTTCAATACATACCTACAACATTTGCATAATTAGATTTCGGATTAATCTGTCTTTATAAGATTTTTTTTTACTGAGGTAGTTTTTACGACCTCTCGCGACCCCCCTACAGAGGCTTCGCGACCCCCCAGGGGGTCGCGACCCACAGGTTGAAAAACACTGATTTAGATCAACCACAATCTTGGATCTATTATTGAATTTAAATTTATAATTGAGTGTCATTTAATAATACGCCTACTTTTTAATTTGCATAGTAATTTTTTGCGATAAATAAAATGCCGTCGCGCTATCATCAGTAACGGCCATCGCATGCCTCTCGCTTGTACGACTCTCATACTAATCTGTGTTTCCGCGGCGCCCGCTAACAGAGCAACAGGCGACGGTCAACATCCCGGGCACTAACCTCTCGATCCCATTAAGCGCTTTGACCGGGAACCAGATGATCACGATCCCGGGGTCCAATATTGCGATCCCGGCCGGGATTCAGATCCCGACGAGTCAGGCTATCTCGATCCCGAGCTCCACGGGCGTGCAGATGCAGCAGCAAGACAAGGCCGACTCTAAGGAACAGAAGGACGCCAGCCCCGATCCACAAGGTTGGTCTCAGGGTTCACGTGGATGGAACTTTCAAAGCGTCAGACACAGTTTTACATATCTATAAAGACGATTTTGGGATAACTTTGATACTAATTTTGGGAGAAAATTTACACAGTAACTTTTGAATCATCTGGGGTTCATTTTTGACGCGTTCAAACTTAATTGAAGACTGTTCGATGGCGATACGATAGTTTTCCATTAATCTTTCTTCATTAGTTCTATGTTTCTTCTTTAATATATCATTGACTTATTTTTATTTTTCATCATTCCAAAAGTTCCGTCCACACTTCACTATATTTCATCTCCCAGCTTTTAGTGTTGATTTTTTGCAATTCTGATTAATTTGCTTGGTGTATTAATTTTCTCATAAATCATTCGTACAGTGAACCTACGCAGCTGTATCTCGTACTAGCACTTGGTAATAATGCTTGGTTGTTTTTCACTATGCACTACCATAATTACACAGCACATTTAATGTTATCATTTATAAAACGTAATTTAAGATTAAAAGTCATTATTTTGTTTATAAAAAGTAATTTAAGTTCCCTAAGATTATTTTTATTTCAATAAAAAAATCGGTACGAGATATCTTAAGATAATATCTGTTATCAAAACTATTATGTAAAGACATAAAATTTTTAAGTTTACCATGTGTGTTGAAACTGAACGCAGACTAAAAAAGTTTGTCTACTTTTTTTAAAATTGTAATCGTTGATAGCTTAGTAACGTTTTTGCCAACAGGTCCAATGGGCGCGTTCCAAAAAATCATAGACAAACTTATCGTAGCTAGACTGCTCTCCGACCGTGTCACCTGAAGGTCGTATGCATACATATCGTATTTGCGATATACATATCTTTGATGCCTGGTTAAAATGTATTGATTAATAGCTGTTATTAGGTCACATTTGATCTCATTGCGCTGTATACCTGCGGTCTGCGTTCGATTTCAAATCTATTGAAGAGGAGTACCTTTGAAAGCTTTGGCGATTTTTTTTCTCGATGGCTGTTCGTAAAGAAAAGCTACCGAAGCGTACGTATAAACGATATTGTACGATGGTTTGTAATAAGGCTTTTATGGGCGGCAAATTTTCGTAGAAGTTATTGACTAATTAATAATTTTAATTAACGCACAGTATGGAAATATGCCAAAGCATTTAACTACATAAAATATGTAATATTAAATATCGTATCAATTTTTTGTTGAAAAATAGCACCTGTTACATGATAAGGTCATGCTTCAATTCGCAATGTATAGGGGTTCAAGAGCAGCCTCACTACTATATCTAGGAGGATAGCTAGCCTAAGATGCGCGCCACGATATAATCTTACTGTAGATTTTTGACGACAAATGTTTGAGCATATCGATCGTCTAAAAACGATTAAAATGTCTCGATTAGATTACTTCTTTTATAATATTTATTTATTTCGGAGCTTTTGTCTCCAGAAGCTGCCATCTTCATCAAGCCAAATAACAAGTTTTCACAAGTTTAAGAATTTCCGTTAAAACACGCCCAATATGTGTTGTATACTGTGAATGTCTTAAATTTGTATTGCTGTTGGTGTACCTTTATCAATAAATAAATAAATAAACACGCGTTCAGTACCGAAAATTAGTATGCAGCGCTCGCGAATACATGCGGCCGTGGTGGGCAGGTGGCCGCCCGCGTTATTATAGCGGAGGCCCTAAATCGTGACGCGCTCTTAGGGCTGGTTTTAGTGTCACGCGGACCGTCCGGTGCGGACCCGCTCCGCACGGCCAATCGTATGAACTTCTAGGGAGCGTTTTAGAGTAATGCGGTCCGGAGGAACCGCTCCGCTCCCTAGTAGTTCATACAGATCGGCTGTGCGGAGCGATCCGCACTCACAGTCCGCGTGACACTAAGAGTAGGCGCACACCGTTGATTTTTCGTCGGCCGATAGTTTAGTCGGGCTGTTGATCAGTATGGGCATGAATGGGACTGCGCACACTACGCCGATTCGATTTGGCCGATTCTTCATACAATTTGAAATCGGGCACAACTATCGGCCAACTAAAAATCTACGGTGTGCGCTTACTCTAAAACCAGCCTAGGACTGGCAGGTTATGCTTCAATTCTCAATACAAGCTTGCATAAGCATCCAAAGTAAAAATTGACATGTAATTCAGGGGCAGGCGTGGCCGTACGCGGCGTGGGCGGCGTGGGAAGCGTGGGCAGTGTGGGCATGGTGCCGGTTCAAGTGCCGGTGAGCGTGGCTGGCGGCCATACTGTGTACCAGACCGTGCACGTGCCTATGCACGCGCCGCACCATCTGCAGCTGATACCTCACGCGCACCAGGTCAGTGAACTAAAGATCCTTGTTGTAGTCATCATCATCATGATTTTAGCTATAGGACCCACGTATACGGCTATTTCCACTGCTGGAACACGACTCTAACTTACTAGAGGCAAATAGAGGATTTGGCCTACACTCCCCTCGCTGGCGAGGATTGGGGAGACCTTTGTTGGCTTACGAGTTGGAGTTGGTTTATGAGATCGAATCAGAAATGAGGAGATCCGTAAACGAACTTAAGTCGCTGACGTTTTTTTTCAGCCAAATGACGTCCACTGCTGGACAAAGGCCTCCCCCAAGGTTTTCCACAATGAACGGTCCTGCGCTGCCCGCATCCAGGCTCTTCCCGCGACCTTTACCAGATCGTCGGTCCACCTAGTAGGAGGCCTGCCCACGCTACGTCTTCCAGCCCGTGGTCGCCACTCGAGAACTTTCCTGCCCCAACGGCCATCGTCTCTACGAGCTATGTGCCCCGCCCACTGCCTAAGTCGCACTAAGTCGCTGACTTAGCCCGACGGATTAGCAAGCTGAAGTGGTAATGGGCAGAACACAGTATGCAGAACTGACGGCCGATGGGGCAGCAAGGTTCTGGAATGGAGGCCGCGTACCTTGTGGGTCGACATCATAAAGGTAGCAGGAAGGCGCTGGACGCAGGTCGCTGCCAACCGGTTAACATGGAAATCATTGGGGGAGGCCGATGTTCAGCAGTGGATGTCCTATGGCTTCTTATATGGACTCATTAGCCAATGTTGATACGTGGCAAGACTTGCGAGATCCCTCACAAGATCATCAATTACATTGGACACTTGGCCACTCTGAAAAAGGTCAAGGTTTGCAGGACCTCTTAAGCAATCTGGAAAAAGCCAACCCTCAACTCTTATACTCTGGACAAGGCTTGCAGGATCCCTGGCACGCTGATATTGTGCCGAATCTTGCAGAACCCTTCGTACTCTAGACATAGTCAAAACCTGAGGAAATTATGCATACGTAGTTAAATTATCTTTTATTTTATTTTATTTTCTAGATGCAACAACCCCAGATTGCCAACGTGTTGACGCCGTCAGGTCAAATTCAGCAGATACAAATAGCGTCATTAGCAAATGTTCAGGTAAGAATATAATAATTACCATCTCTAATTAAACTTTCTATAACTTAGCCATTCATAAGTCCTCTAACTTAACTTAAACATGATCTTTCGAATGTTTTGAACTGATTAAACTTAGGTTGAGTTGCTCCATCTTACTTTAACAGTAACTATAATCCTAACCGGTGTTTTTGTATTGAGTTTGATAAACTTAACGTCTGTTATAGTTAATGTAAGATGGTGAAATCTAGCCTTAATTTTTCATGTCATTGCCTTCTATTAAATCTCTATTAAAACCAAAAGTTTCTCGAGTCTGGCTTGATCATTCTGTAAATATAACGGGGTTGGTTTGGTGCAGCAAAACGGAGGCACGCAGGCCGCCGCCAGTGCCGCACCCACGCCCGCGACCATCACTCTGCAGGTGACTTAGCGTTAACTCATGGCATGAAGCTTCAATCAAACCAGCGCAATCATGATAACATTAGGGTGTGCACGGCTTATATGCTTTATTTATTAAAACATTTGGTGTAGATGTAAGATATACCGTGTTTTGAATACTAGATATAATATTAATTTCTGAAGTAGTGAAAGCACATTTAAGAATTTCTTTGTAATTAACATTGTGTCCGCATTTTAGATTTGGTCTGATTTGATTTCCACATTGAATTTTGTACAATCAACCTACTTCCCAAATAAAGTAATTCTATCATGGGGTAAACGACGTATGGAATCTTTAATACCATTGTGTGATAGAGATGCACGTATTTATGCCTTAGTTATTTCTTGCATGAACATTTTTTCCTTACCCAGCTTAAAATGCTTGTATATTGTATGTATTTTTATTTTCCATAACAGATTTAGTAGACTGCTACCTGATTCGTTGCCTAACAAAAAATTATGCCAACTCCCATTAGCTAACCACTGCGAACTAACAACTAACAAACTTGCCTCCACTTTCGTGCTGCTCGGACGCTAGGCGGTGTCGAACCCGATGCAGACGGATGCAACGGTACAACAAGTGCAGCAAGTGCAGCAACCGCAGACCATAATCACCAGCGGGTCGGGGCAGCAGGTCACTGTCATCCCAGCCACCAATGTACGTGCGAGCGTGGTGCAGGTATAGGCCGAACGCTCGGTTGTAAAGCCTGGTCTGTGAGCACGTAGAATTTTGTCCAATGACCCCAAGCTACCCATCCTTATCGCTCGCGCATAATTATGTTGCTGTCGCGCTCGCACACTCACTGCGGGCGCGCGTCGCACAGTCGCGACAGCAACATACGCGCATGCGATAAGGATGGGTAGCTTGGGGTCATTGGACAAAATTCTACGTGCTCACGGACCAGGCTTTAGCTGTGAACGTGTATCAGTGTGTCACCTCCATGGCACCATTATTTGACCGACGACGACATGACAGACGATTTTCTACGAGCGTGATCAAGTAAAGGGTATTAGTTTGGTGGACTGGTATGCCAGCAAATAGATCACCGCTGTACAGGTCGCAAAATAGCTAAAATTCATACAGACAGGTTTCGTGAGTTTTGTATCTGCAACTGGTCTATCTGTAATCTTTGAGGAACAGGTCACTGCTATATACATCGCGACGTAGCCATAAGTGTTCAAGTTTCCACTCTGTGACTATCATATGACGTTCATGTTGATATTGGGACGAGTTACTTGGGTTGACAATCAAAATGATTATTATGTTCTACCAAATGCAATTGTGCGTTTTCGTGCTGCCTAGACACTAGGCGGTGTCGGATGCAACAGTGCAACAACCGCAGACCATAATCACCAGCGGATCGGGGCAGCAGGTCACTGTCATTCCAGCCACCACTGTACGTGCGAGCGTGGTGCAAGTATAAGCCGAACGCTCGGTTGTAGCTGTGAACGTGTATCAGTGTGTTACCAACATTTTATGATCCATGACAGACGATTTTCTGTGAGCGGGATCAAGTAGAGGGTGGTTTAGTGGACTGGTATACCAGCAGATAGAATACTGCCGTGCAGTTGGGAAATAGTTAAGTGTCTTTTGGTTTTGTCTTTAGCTGGAATCTCTGGGAATAGGTCACTACTGTCACGCGCACAATGGCCCAATCATGAGGCTAAGAGCGGTATTCGATTGCCCTGCAAAACTAACTAACTAGGTCACTAATGTAGTACACATCGTGACATAGAAATAAGTGTCCAAATTTCCACTCTTGCGTCCATAACGTTCATGTTGATATTGGGACGAGTTCCTTGAAAATAATCATTACGTTCTACCAAATGCAATTGTGCGTTTTCGTGCTGCCCGGACGCTAGGCGGTGTCGGATGCAACAGTGCAGCAACCACAGGCCATCATCACCAGCGGGTCGGGGCAGCAGGTCACTGTCATCCCCGCCACCACTGTACGTGCGAACGTAGTTCAGGTATATGCCGAACGTTCGTCAGAACGAGGCCGAACGCTCGTTAAAACGAGGCCGAATGTTCGTCAAAATGGGGACGAACGCTCGCTGTGGTAGCGGTGCACGTGTCAGTGTGTTACCACCACTTTATGATACATGACAAATGATTTTCAAGTAGAGTCTAAGGATCAAAATAATCAATACGCTCCTCGACCAAAAATATGTATATTTTATTTACTTTTTCATATGCGTACATTTTGGCTTAGTATTAGGTACGTTTTGGGGTTTTTTGGTGAAGGGGTTTTGGTTTTGAACAACTATGTATAATGCAATGATATTTGGTGGTGGTATACATTTGCCAAATTTAATTTCAAATTTTATTTAAACTATGTAAAGGTTTCAATTACTGTGAAACCATCACTTCATATCTCAATCTTGGTGCTAATTGGTATCACAAGCAACTGCGAGCCTTATGTGAAGAATACCTGACGTTCGCAGGTCCCAACGCTGGGCGTAGGCGGCGTGGGAGGTGGGGTACAATTGGTCCCCGCGCTGGGACTGCCTGGGGTGCAGTTGGCTCAACTTCATCAACCTCAACCGCAGCCGCAGCCTGTTATAGGTGAGACATCTTAGATTTCTTATGCAGTATCGTGTATTTTCAAGTATTTTGTATTTGAAACTGAGAGCAACATACACTCTGCGTCAAAGAAATCGCAAATAAAAATCTCACGTGCCCTCTTTAACAGATGGATAACGATTAATCCCAATTTAACAGTTTTATAACCATAAAAGTTGGTTCAAGCGTAACTACCTGTCGCTTTAAGAAGAGACATTGGATCTTTCTAAAGACACATTTTTGGGGTGAAGAAAACCTTTCCTTAAATGTAATGAAGTTTAGAACTACGTTTTCAAATGGTACCAATATTGGTGGGAAGTGCATACGCTTGAAAGTGCTTGTCGCGAGAGGTGCGATTTATTTGACACCAAGTGTAATTCCCATACGTTTCTATAGAGTAGGTATCAAAAGTCTTGCTTTTTGTAGTCGGGTCAAAATTCTATGTAAATCATTCTACAATATTTCCTTCTGTCCCCAGGTCAACAAATCCAGCAAGACCCCAACGAGCCGGGCAAGTGGCAGGTGGTCACCGTGAGCACGGCTAGCAATAACAGCAACAACAATTCGGGCAACAACTCCGGGACGGAATGCGAGGCCAGCAAGCAGCGCGCGTCAAGTCCTTCTGGCAACAAGCGGCTCATGAAGCGGGTGGCTTGCACGTGCCCTAACTGCGACTTGGGAGAGAAGTGAGTCATTGAAATCAGCACCTCAACAGCTTACAGTGACCACCTACCACTTGGGCAAGTGGCAGGTGGTCACCGTGAGCACGGCTAGCAACAACAGCAACAACAATCGGGCAACAACTCCGGGACAGAATGCGAGGCCAGCAAGCAGCGCGCGTCCAGTCCTTCTGGCAACAAGCGGCTCATGAAGCGGGTGGCTTGCACGTGCCCTAATTGCGACTTGGGAGAGAAGTGAGTCATTGAAATCGGCACTTCAATCGTCGTACACTTTCACAGCTGTTCATGTGTGTCGTGCCGTGCGTACCCAAACAACAGCACGCAGGAAGATTTAATGAATGCTACTGACAACGCCACTCTTGTAGTAGTTTTGGGCTGACACTGACACTTGTCGATACGACAAGAAGATATGTTAGCTGTTCATAAGATTTCAGCGGGAGATGTGCTTTTACTTTTAGATAAGATAAGATAACACTTATTTATTTATGTGAAAGGCATACGATAAACATTTTTCCCAAGGTCTTGCTTAATTCTGCTTCATTTTACCTACCACACTAGCGTGTTTCGAGCATCTTCGCAACGTTGTCATTTTGCGAACGCCTGAAGCACACTAACACTAACTAAATAACTCGACGCCAGCGCGTAGATTCAGCGTTCAACATCCGCTCAGCAATGGCGTCGCCTTTGACTTTAACCTTTGGCGTGCTATTGAGCCGCGCAAAACTGCACCCCCCAACTGCTACGGTTTTCAAATGATGTTCCAAATGACAAAGTAATCTTGTCTTAGATCTGAGACAAAGCAGTTGACAGAGGTTGCACAGATATGAGACAAAGCATAGCTGCATAGGAGAGGTTAAAGATAGTTGTTGCTGCGCAGGCGCTGCCTAAACGACGATGAGACGTTACGATGACGTCGAAAGACGCTAGTTTGGGGGTTCCGTTATGTAGTACTTACTTATTGCTTACTTCTAAAAGTAGCAGTTTCAAAGTGCCTGTTTCTTTCCAGCCGCCTGGTGGACCGCAAGAAGCAGCACGTATGCCATATCGCGGGCTGCAACAAAGTGTATGGCAAGACGTCGCATCTGCGCGCACATCTACGTTGGCATTCGGGCGAGCGCCCTTTCCTCTGCAACTGGCTGTTCTGTGGAAAGAGGTTAGTGCTATCTCACTTGGTTGCGTACGAGTGACAGGGACAGAAGAGAAAGAAACTAAATCTTAGCTATACAGGTGTTGCAGTGAAGGGAGCGTGTGGCAGATCCTGCAGGATGTATAAGCCAACCCCTAGCTAGGACCCGTACTTCTTAGGCAGTCTTTTGAACTTTTAAAGGTTCTAACAGTTTATGTGGTTCTGGCAGAGAAGAGTTGTACCACCTCCATTCTTCTCCAGATGTTGTAAGAGGCGACTAAGGCAGATATCAATATCAGGCTCTCACAACCTGTTTAGCGTGGGGAGAGTTGGCCGAAATCCTTCATTTGCCTCTGGTAAATTGGAGCGAGCAGGCACTAAATGACCTTATGATGTTGATGATGACGATTTTTTCCAGGTTCACCCGTTCCGACGAGCTCCAAAGGCATAGACGCACGCATACCGGCGAGAAGCGCTTCGAGTGTCCCGAGTGCAGCAAGCGGTTCATGCGCTCCGACCACCTGGCCAAGCACGTGCGAATACACACCAAGAACCGCATCACGGTATGTGCCACGATACACACGTCACTAGCTGACACACTTGACACAGTAAATAAAACAAAGGCATCGACACACGCACACGCGATAGGAACCGCATCACGGTATGTACACGATACACACACATCTCTAGTTGACACAGTAAATGAAACAAAGGCATCGACACACGCACACGCGAGAAGCGCTTCGAGTGTCCCGAGTGCAGCAAGCGGTTCATGCGCTCCGACCACCTCGCCAAGCACGTGCGAATACACACCGAGATGCTACGATAGCTTAAGCCCGATACTATGGACAACACCGAGATAAAACAAGTGTAAAGCACAACGGTGTGAGACTGACGATTCGCCACGAGAATCGAATAGAGGTGATAATAGCTCAAACTCAACACTATACACTAAAGTTCGGCCAACTAGCAGCGATACAAAAGGTCGATTCGACTGTCGAACTGACAATCTATTCTGTCTCCTCTTCCCATCTTGTGTATTTGTCGTAATGTCTCGTTCTCCCGCCAAAATATGTCAAAGTCAAACCCCTGCTATTCCAAATGACCATGACATTGGGTTTGTTAACATTTGGTATCGCTTCTCGTTGGCCGTACTTTAGTTGACACCGCTTGGTCTTGGCTAACAACTATTAAGTTGTACTGCGCTGGTTGGAGTTTCAAGAAACGCTAGATCTATCCTTGACGATCGCTGGATTATTGTGGTGAATGTAAATTTAGCTTCCTTAGAGGGGTTAAGAGGGATATTAGATTTTTTTTTTGTTTATCAACGGTAGGGTAGTTAACACGACTAATGAATTCGTGCCTAAATCGAGTGTGATTAACTCAGTTTGATATTTTTCTCTTCTTGCTTACCTGGCTCGTGTTACAAATGGATGAAAGGTATTAATTTTGATTACTGTCTTATTAAAATATTCACAATGAGAGTTCCAACGGCTATAACTTCGTACGCATGGATCCCGTTTTACCCCCTTAGGGGTTGAATTTTGCAAAATCCTGTCTTAATAAGCACCTATGTTCTAAAAGGAAAAGGAACTCCTTGCATTTGAGACTCCTAGCACTTGTAGTTTCTAAGATTTAGTGATGAGTGAGTCAGTCAATCAGGGACCTTCCGCTTTTATAGTTACAGTAGAATAATATTCCAGTGCGGTATTATATTTGTGATTCCTCACAGCAGGCGACGTCCATGTACTCGGACTCCGGCGACGACAGCTGCGACGAGAAGATGACGCTCACCATCGAGACCATCCAGGCCGAGCCCGAGCCGGCCGACGACAAGCTCGTCATGCTGCGCCCCGCCGCCAAGGTGGAGCCCGAGCACGCGGACAGCTANAAGATAAAGCGTGCGTGCGCATCTACGTTGGCATTCGGGCGAGCGCCCTTTCCTCTGCAACTGGCTGTTCTGTGGAAAGAGGTTAGTGCTGTCTCGCTTGGTCCTGTGCGAGTGACAGTTCAGTCGCGACAGCAATATAACCACGCGCGAGCGATAAGGATGGGTAGCTTGGGGTCATTGGACGAAATTCTACATGCTCGGCGACTGGACTTTACCACAAAGTGTACAAAAGATAAAGCGTGCGTGCGCATCTACGCTAGCATTCGGGCGAGCGCCTTTTCCTCTGCAACTGGCTGTTCTGTGAAAAGAGGTTAGTGCTATCTCACTTGGTTGCGTACGAGTGACAAGGACAGAAGAGAAAGAAACTAAATCTTAGCTATACAGGTGTTGCAGTGAAGGGAGCGTGTGGCAGATCCTGCAGGATGTATAAGCCAACCCCTAGCTAGGACCCGTACTTCTTAGGCAGTCTTTTGAACTTTTAAAGGTTCTAACAGTTTATGTGGTTCTGGCAGAGAAGAGTTGTACCACCTCCATTCTTCTCCAGATGTTGTAAGAGGCGACTAAGGCAGATTTATCAATATCAGGCTCTCTCAACCTGTTTAGCGTGGGGAGAGTTGGCCGAAATCCTTGATTTGCCTCTGGTAAATTGGAGCGAGAAGGCACTAAATGACCTTATGATGTTGATGATGATGATTTTTTCCAGGTTCACCCGTTCCGACGAGCTACAAAGGCATCGGCGCACTCATACCGGCGAGAAACGCTTCGAGTGCCCCGAGTGCAGCAAGCGGTTCATGCGCTCCGACCACCTGGCCAAGCACGTGCGAATACACACCAAGAACCGCATCACGGTATGTGACACGATACACACACATCTCTAGTTGACACAGTAAATAAAACAGGCACTGACACACGCACACGCGAGAAGCGTTTCGAGTGTCCCGAGTGCAGCAAGCGGTTCACATCAAGAACCGCATCACGGTATGTGCCACGATACACACACATCTCTAGTTGACACAGTAAATAAAACAAAGGCATCGACTCACGCACACGCGAGAAGCGTTTCGAGTGTCCCGAGTGCAGCAAGCGGTTCACACCAAGAACCGCATCACGGTATGTGACATGATACACATCATTAATCGACACCACATCACTAGTTGGCTGACACCGTCAATAGCGGTGAAAATAGTCCAAGTAATAGTCCAATGCTACGAGTTACAGGACAGTCAGGTGACAATTATCCAATGGAGGCAGACTGCTGTTTCGAGTTTCGAAAGACTAGTTCCGTCCCCCATCCACTCCACTCTTAACATTAGCATAATTTATCATATTAAGATTACTTGGTGGGGTTAACAAGGACATTACTAATTTGTATATCACAAAATCAACTGGCAAACTTTATGAGCTATTAATATACGATTCTTCCATAGATTTTCTGGAATAGTAAGGTCATGCTAACTCATGCATAAATCGATAACTCAGTTTGGTATTTTTCTCTTCTTGCTTACCTGGCTGGTTTTGCGACTGGATGAAAGGTATTAATTTTGATTATTGTGTTATTAAAATATTAACATTGAGTTTCTCTTGTGATTGATTATTATTGAAACAAAGCAAACAAATAATATTCTAGTGCGGTATTATATTTGTGATTCCTCACAGCAGGCGACGTCCATGTACTCGGACTCCGGCGACGACAGCTGCGACGAGAAGATGACACTCACCATCGAGACCATCCAGGCCGAGCCCGAGCCGGCCGACGACAAGCTCGTCATGCTGCGCCCCGCCGCCAAGATGGAGCCCGAGCACGCGGACAGCTAGGTAACACGCGGCTGTAACACGCGGCTGTAACACGCGGCTGTAACACGCGGCTGCAACACGCGGCTGTAACACGCGGCTGTAACACGCGGCTGTAACACGCGGCTGTAACACGCGGCTGCAACACGCGGCTGTAACACGCGGCTGTAACACGCGGCTGTAACACGCGGCTGCACGTAACACGGTAACACGTGGCTGCATGTAACACGCGGCTGCACGTAACACGCGGCTGCATGTAACACGCGGCTGCTTGTAACACGCAGTTACACGTTACAACACAGGAGTACCTGTATCAGTAAATAGTAATTAAATGCAGCCTGTTCTAGGATGCGCGATAAGCGTGATAGCCATTTTATCGACTTTGCCCATACATTTTACGCCAATAAGAGTATATCACGGCGCGCATCCTAGCCCGGCTGGATTCAGTTAGGCAGTACTTAGCTCTCGCTTTCACAATAATGTATCTAATTCATTGTTTTTTGTTCTAGGACGAGGACAGCGACGAGTAGTCGCTGCTAACCTTCATTCTCAACCGAGACTAATGTGCTGCGGGGAGGCTTGGGCGAAGTAAAGTAGCTATGTCAGACGCCTATGGCGGGTCATATAGTCTGACACCAGCGTTGTACGTCACCAGACTCCTATGGCGGGTCATAAAGTCTGACACCAGCGTTGTGACGTCACTCGTCGCAACCCACACGGTTGAAGGAGCCTCAACAATCGTGTGAATTTGTCTTTACTCGGTCAAGCCTACGGTGGCCATTAGTGACACATGGATTGCTTTAGCAAATAGTGTCGGTGGGGAATAAGCCGAAACACTTCGGCGAAAACAATTTTTGCTACAATTGACAGAATAGCTGCTAAAATAGAGTGGAGTGATGTAGTGAGTGAACCTTAACGTTTAAATAATTAGAATAAAATAATCATAACTTTCGTTCTTTTAAACTATATTGTCTTTTCATACTCAATGAGCCATACTTAATTTAAGATCGTTATTAAAATCATGAAATTTTAAAATTATTTTAGGTTCACTTTTATTTATTTTTGTTAGGTTATTTTAAGCCGCCTTTAATTATTAATTATGTTAAATATTTCTTCATTCCATTCTTTTTTACCCTTCTTTCGTTTACATGAGCATTTTGGTTGTTTACGTAGGTTGTATTGCATTAATTGGTAAGAATTATACATAAGCGTCTAGATTATCGAATGAACAGTCCAGCGTAGTCAAAAAATTAATCCAAAATTACTTGTGTCATATTAATTAGAATCTGTATGATCTGTGATCAAAATTATGTTATTGGTTGTAGTTATGGTGTGGTCTGTACATTTATTTTTGGTACAATCGATGCAGTTAAAGTAATGGTTTATTTTTGCTTATATTCTAAGAAAAATGAGAGGTCTGCGACCCAATAAAATACCAGTCTTAGTAATCTTAAATTATTTAATTGTTTCTATTTAAATGATTATGAGGTAAAATAGCCATAACTTAGAGAAGGCTTTTTGGGCGGACTCTACATGATTTAAGATCATTCCCGAAATCCATTCTTTACTTGCAAATATTGTACTTCTGTTGTACTTATTTGTAAATTGTGTATATCTTTTTAATAATAAGGATTGATGTAAAAATGTAGTATCATGTTTATTGGCGTCTAAGATTAAAATAATATTAAGTAACACGTCTATTTAAATAAATTGTTTAAGAGTCGCACAAAAATAAAGAATTTAATATATTTTGGAAGAGAAACTGTATTAGAGTATAATAGTGAATTGGAATACACAGGTGATGCTAAATTAATACTGATAAATTAAAAATTCTATCTTAAAAACAGTTGGTGTTGGTGTAAATGTTTATAAAGTGCGCCCTAGCCAAAGTCCGAAAGTTTTATGTGCTAGGAAATACATAGTAATTAAGTCGTGTGATTTTAGGTAAAGTACTTATTGTGTATTTACAACGATCGATTTATTTAAGAATGAAGACTAGATGGCGAGGAAAAATACTTGCATAATACTCTACTTATAAATAAATTATAAACTTAGTCACTTTTATATGTAATGTTAACACGTTGACAGTTCAAAACCTTGCCCTTGTTGCTAGTTTTTATACAGTTGAAGGGTTACAGACTTTCAAATAGCATTTTTCAATCTTTCTGTCTACGCCAGAGATTTTCTTGCAATAGAAACAAATTAAAGTGAAAAATACGGGTTGTATTTTTCATGGGTAAAAGTCTACTTTCACATCTTTATCATTATTGTAAGTACAAGAAAATTTCTGTTATTTACTCGCCTTCACAAAATGTATTATGTGACTGACTGACTCATTATAACTCTGGCAAAATCTTTTGTAAAAAGTTTAATGATCAGGTAATTAAATTGTCAAGTGTCTGAAGTTTTTAGTTCATAAATCCCTTTGAATGCTATGTTAAGAAATCGAACATCGGTGCTACAATAGCTCTTTAAAAAAATAGGATCAACTTTAAATTACATTATTTCACAAAATTAGGCAAGATTTTAAACAATGGTTAACCAATTTGATGATTAATCCTTTAATCATACAATGGTTTCATAAAATTACATTTGGCTTTATTCTTTGGGCAGCGAGTTGTTTAAATCTAGTCCAGTGTAAAATTGGTTTTGGCCCTGTTATTATTTTCGAAGAGTTGTACAAAAGATGGTTGTGTGGGTACAGACAACGGCACTTCAACGTAAACACTGGCATCTTATAAAGTTGGAATAGATGCTATTTTTCAAAAAAATGTACAGTTTGATGTGCTGTCGTCGGTACAAACGCAACGCAGCATCGAAGCACCGGTGGGTCCAAGGCGAGGTCGCCCGACGCTCTGTAAATATAAAGCACTTGTACAGTGTAAATGTATGTAAATAGTTTTATTGTTGACCCGTTAATAAAATATTTTTATACTATTTAAGTTTCTTTCATTTGGAATTCGTAATTTATTTATTCATTTGTTTTGGACAACAAAATATTCTTATTTAATAGAACTTGAAAGTTTGGAAGCTTTGCTTTGATTATGGCCATGGCCATATACATTTACCAGCTACGTTTTGAGCGTAGTCCTGTTAGTCCAGTCAATAAAGCATTATAGATGGAAAACTGTAGAACACATTTTCTGACTTCAGGACTTTATTTAGACTAGTTAGGAGGTGAACATAGCAAAAGTCCCCGCCCTTAGCCCTTGAGCCGGCGGGGAGAGAGGGGTTTAAAGGTGCCATTTTTCGGTTTTTCGCTTAATCCTCGGAAACTATGCGTCCTAGTGACATGACTACTTTGAACCAAAAAAAGCATATTCAATTTGCTACAGGTGAGATAGACAAGTTTTTCTATAAATTGTATAGTTTTCGCGGCATCTGCTCTAGAAGGTCTGTAATATTGGAAATTTTATTTTTGTCTTACATGTTTCCATCAGGAGAAAATCGACTAAATCAACATTGAGCTAATATTCTAGACATGCGGGAGCATGTTAAGCCTAGTTCCAGGGAGGGGACTGCACCGTGCGTATATTTAGACGAACCAATTGGATCCACTTTTGACTCCTCATCACTCAAAAAGTACTGTGCATTAACACTTCAAATTTGGCTCATATGTTGAGACTTGCAAGATATACATCTGTTTCGAATTTCATAAATATGCCTCAAACGGTTCTTTAGATATTGACGTCCAAAAATNTGCTCCCGCATGTCTATAGTGTTTGCTCAATGTTGATTTAGTCGATTTTCTCCTGAAAGGAACATGTAAGACAACAATAAAATTTCCAATTTTACAGACCTTCTAGAGCAGATGCCGCAAAAACTATACAAGATATAGAAAAACTTGACGGTCTCACCTGTAGCAAATTGAATAAGCTTTTTTTGGTTCATAGTAGTCATGTCACTAGGACGCATAGTTTCCGAGGATTAAGCGAAAAACCGAAAAGTGGTACCTTTAAACCCCCCTCTCCCCGCCGGCTCAAGGGCTAAGGGCGGGGACTTTTGCTATGTTCACCACCTAACTAGGCTAAATAAAGTCCCGAGGTCAGAAATTGTGTTCCACGGATTTCTCTCTACACCGTCGTTAGGGCATTCATTGACTGGACTATGTGTTTTGAGCCTAGTTGTGTGATGTACCATTAAAGCCTAGGCGTGACCACCGATTTTTCTCGTCAGTGATTCGTATTTCGTACTGTGGCCTGCAACCTCAACTAAAAATTGGTGGTATGTGCCTAGGCTAAGGGTGGATTCGACCAGTAAATATTTAGATAAATATATTGTCAGTTATTCGACATACCAGGAGTTATTCTCCGATAAAAGAAAAATAGGCTTGAAAATTTTCTTTACACGCATAAGTAATAACAAAACGACATCAGAACAAAACAAAAACACGAATATTTATCTACGACGTACGTACAAAACAACCCTCAATGATCCAGTCGGCCCGTGAACTTGACCCACCCGCCGGTATCGATTTGCCCTACTACCCGCGTACCCTGAATAACAGGGTGGGGGAGGCACCCTACCTCCACCCTCGGAGTGCTCGGAGTCTCGGAGTAGTGACCTTGCCGATTGTTTACACTGGAAAATGGGTTGTTTGTGTTTTGTTTGAAGATCGATATTGGGATGCTTTGTTTGATGCGTAAATGTACTAAGATTTAAAGTATTTTTTTTTATATTTTTGGTTTTGTGTCGCAGTTGTTTATCCGGTACATAAATAAGTAGTTTTGAGTTTGCCGGATAAATAAATAAATCCTAATCACGCAATAAACAAGAGTGGTACTTAAGTGCAATATACAAATGGATCGCCTTTATGAATTATGTGGTAGAGCAAAGTATTAAAAAAAAATCTTAAATTGAACCCTCACGGTTGAAAACTTACCTATAAATTTTTCACACGGTAAATGCATTTGCGGCTTACACTAAATACAGTTTAGTGATCTAGGTTGGTAGTTATCTGTTTGTGATGGTAAATTGAGCGATATTCGCGATTTGGTACAGATTGATCGAGGTCAACTGTACCTGGAAAGTTCACGGTGTAACACGCCAAAAGCAGGCTCAATTAGGCTGTCTTATTGGGCCGAAGCAGACTGAATAATTACGAAGGCAATCAAAGTTAAGAATCTAGTGCAGGTACCACGCGAAGTAACCACGCTTTATGGTATAGGCTCTCAACCTTCGTCAAGGCAAAGGAAATGATACGGTAAATACAGCTGCTGAAGTAAATGCCCCATTATTAGAATCTATGGCTAAGTATTGTTTAAAATTGATTGTCAACCAATGGATTAATTTGTTTTGCTTTAAGTATTCTTCCCGGTTGCGTTAGCGGTCAAACGAAAATTTTCCCAATTTGCACGGGATTTTTGGGTATCTTCATAAGTCATTAGGTTACAAAAAACCGGATGGTTAACTCACTACGAGTTTGTTAATGACTTGCTTATTTTTTATTGTGGATGGCATGATTGAAGCGTCTCTATGTGGGTGTGGAAAATATGAACTTTCTCTTGTTTCACAAATATTTTTTCATCTAAGTATTTCTCATAGTTCCTTAATCTAGCGTTTCTCAATGTTGTGGAGTACGAGGTGGGTAGGTACTCCACAACATTGAGAAACGCTGTCCACACCGTGTTCACCGACTGTTTTGTGTACCGTTCGCTTTATCTTTCCCCTTCGTAGAGCTGTTCCATTCTTGCAATTTAGAAAATTGTGCATGCAGATGGTATTCTAGTTAAGATGCGTTCAGATGCTCAGATACAGACAGGATGTGGCCGCAGTACGAATCACTGACGCAAAAAGAAAGCACAAAAAGAAAATTGTAGTCTGTTTATAAATTATTGAGATTGATGAACATCATTATTGACGTGCCTGTATGGAAATGTTACCGTTGGCTTAGCGGTCAGTCGATTGCTCGGAAGAGTAACTCAGTTTACATAGTAACTAGAAAGTATTTATTACATTATTTACATTAAGTATAATAATCAATCATACATCACACAATAAGCTCTGATTATCCTGGTGAAGTTTGTTTTCATAAATAAGTAGTCATCGATAATTGTTTTGTTAGGAATAAGTAGTCGTTACCCTGATCAAGGTGTTTGTTAAAAAATTATAGTTAACTTTGTTCTTTCGATCTATAGGTAATTATTACCTTGATTATTCGGGCTTCACCTGAAACAAGTACAACTCAACTGTAACCATATTTTTTTTTTTTTTAATAATTGTAATTTTATATATCCGCTCAAGAATCGGCGTTCAAATCTAACCATCACAGGTCGTCGGCCGCCATTTTCCGTGTCGCTTCGTCTAATGGCGGCCATTACTGCGTGAAATCGTGATGCCGACCGCTGGCCACAAATCGGAATGCTCCATTTTTCTATTTTTCCCGACACCTTCGAGCGGAGCGGGGGAAGTAGTCATTCATGCGTGAACGCAGGATTTTGACGCCGGTCATTACGCTCATACTTTTCTCCCACGCGATTCATTTTATAAGTCACGACGCGACGATCGGAATTGTTGAGGTGTTTGCGACACCCTGTGAACATCATTAGGTAGTTTAAACTTGACATAAGTGCGTGTACACGTTGCACAAATAGGGGAGACTGGCCCAAAGCGGGCACCTTAAGGTAAAGTAGGAAAAAAACACACAGAATAAGCAAAACGGAATAAGTTTTTATCGTGATCAGTTACTACATTTATTGTAGTTTGACATGGCGTTTTCAAATCATTCATTTGTCTAATATATAAAAAGTAGGCACTCAAATACGAAACACTATCACTTGCTCACTTTGCCCGAGGGGGTGGCCTAAAGCGAGCACCGGCACACAGGCAAAACGGGCATGCAGAGGGCAATAGTTTTTATTTATTTTTACTATATAATTTCTACCTTTGAATATTAAGGAATGTCTCTATTCAAACACAGAATGAGAATCATACTTTCTGAATTGCAAAAAAATAGATTCTAGACATAAAAATTCATCTAACAACATAAAAATTAAAAACATATAACTAATCAGAAGGAACTCTCTTTGAATAATGCAGTCTTGAATCATTATCTTCTAGTATTTTGTAGCTTTTGAGCTGAAGTATTACAGCTTCACTTCAAGAACCTTGTTGTGATTTTCTTTCATATTTATTTACCATCTAAAAAGTCAAATAATAAGAGATTAATGTCGACACTAAAGTCTGTTTTTTTGCTTTTCCAATATTGTAAACAATCTTAATATTCCTTTTTAACGAAATAATTCGTTTTAAAATAAGATAAACACAAAGCTCACAACCTATTATGTAGGTAAGTCATCGTTGAACGCCGATAATAATATCTTTTCAAATCATTTAATTTATAAATTTTTTTCACTGATATTACTTTAAACGTTATAAAAAGATTGTGTTCATTGTTCGACTAGCAAATAAAAACGGACTATACCTACACAATAAATATAGAGGACTAACAATAAAAGCAAGTTAGTTTATATGGCTATGAAGAGGGTAAAATGAGCATGCTCATTTTGCCCTGCTCACTTTGCCTTTTGCGCCACACCACGTTTCATAAAACATAAACTATAATTCCTTTTTAATAATTTTCAAGGAAATATCCTTAAAACACGGTTAAGTAGGTGCAACACATTACGCATACATTGATAATAACGTACGTCACTCAGTTTAATCCAAAACACAACGAACATACCTTTGTTTTTTCAAATAAAATTGACGAATTTCATTTATCGTNCGTCATCGCCCGTATTCCAGGGGTGCTATCAGTTTTCGCGCGTTCCCATATTGATTTGCTTATAAAATATTCAATTTTCGTGATATCAACAAAATTTTTTCACAGTTAGTCTTATTTTAGCTTAAAGTTTTTGTTAGGGCTGAAAAAGGGGAATAAATTTTGATTTACATCTTCCTCATTATAAAAAGCATGTTCACAGCACCCTCTATCA